AGGGAGAGAGAGAGAGGGGAAGAGATAAGGAAGAAGATAGGAAGAGAAAGAGAAAGAAATGAGCAATTTGGTAAAGGCATGTAAAAAAGTGGGGGCCCCTCTCGTCTAGTCAGCACGAAAATATTAATTTAATTGGTGCGGTGTCATTTGGCAAATAACCATATTTTGAGACTATGTTCCCCTAAAAATCACTTCGCGCGGTGTCCTACAGCTAAAACCGCAAAGTCACGATGTCCTGTGGTAAATTTTGCCTTTTCCATATATACGTGTACGGCTTTGCATTTTTCTCCCCCTTGCATAAAGTACTTTGTTATTTATATTTAGTTTCTCACTGTCAACCATGCATTGTGCAACCTCTACATTGTTTATAAGAAACCATTACAAACACAGGTGCTCACAATACACATACACTCACCTCTATAAACACACACGTATCTACGATACCATATATGTATGACCACCTCTAAAAGAACGGGCCAATATATTTTGAGATTGATAAAGTCACGTCTATCACGGAAAGAATAAATAGCTGTAAACACAAGAACTTATGTTAACCTAGGTGGGCTGCACTACTACATAAATTATTTTCTCAAACGGCCGGCTAGGCCGTCCACCTCTCCTCAAATGTCTGTCAAAATTGATATATTTTAATTAGGCAGCGCACTAGCGCACGAAAATAAGTCGCCCGTCTGTGAAAAAAATAAAAATCCTCAAATTTGAAACCCTAGCTAGCTCTGATCCGTCGCTGCAATTCGTCACTACCACCGCTATCGCCATCGCCGCCGAGGCCCCGCAGCTCCCTAACTGGAGAGAAATAATGACAAGTAGAGAGATAGGAGATAAATTAAAGGAGAGGGAGTCCGATGCTATATTTTTGCATACAATTCTCCAAAGAGGTCCATCGGAGGGAGAGAAAGAGGGAGGAGAGAAGAGGTAAGGATAGAGGAAGAAGATGGAACTGACGTGTGGGTCCCACGTAAAGGGGTAAGGGGTATTTTGATCTCTATAAAGATGAAAAACGTAACGGCGATGGCATGAACCCAATTTTATAAAGTTTCAGTGTCACCCAGCTGATATCGTAAATAGTAGTGCTAATACAACAAATTTGCAATTATATGGATCCAATGAACCCAAATTTTATTATCTTACCTGCGAACAAAATTTAATTATCAATTTATAACAAAAACGATATTCACCAAAGCCTAATATTCCGGAACGAATGTAATGTTGAATGGCTGAATAGCCAGATGAGTTATAAGAGTATAAACGAATTAATTAAAACTATTATAATGTTAAAAATGGATTTAAATAATATTTATGGAAGGTTTTTTTAACAATCGTAGCGTTTAGAAGCGGCAAACGTGCATATTCTGATTACACTTTGTTACGGGAAAAAAGAACATGCATATCAATTAATGGCTAATGTACCTACCCACCCAGTACATATAAGTATAACATTGGGCCAAAATGAACATGGTAGTTTAACTACACTTCATTCTCGCACTCCATTCTTTTGTTAGGTACCTTCTGTATGTAGTTGCTATGACTATATTCAAATACAGTCTTCTTACGTAGAGAATCTGGCTACACTGATTTTTATTATGGTTTTGCAATTTCACTTCCAACAGATTTTTTGGCTGTTATCCTTTTTTTTCTAAGATCTTGCATCAAGATTTATATTGTTTATATATATCCAACTTATTGTTACACTCAATTACCTAGCACTTACATTTTGTTATAGTGCACTTACACTCAGTTACATAGTATTTACACTCAGTTATATATATAGCACTCACACTTAGTTATAGTGCACTAGAATTAGATTGTAGAACAACTTTTTTTTTTTGCTACATTTATGTTTTTCGACGTGTTTGTCTTTTTTTTTTGTTTATCTCATTTAAAACGAGTTATATCCATTGGTGAAGAATTCTGCAAGATTCGAAATTATAAATCTGTCGCGAGATAAATAGGAACCAATTACCATGTTCATGGAAAAATTAATTGAAGATGCTAGCTTAGACTGACGAGATCATATAAGATATATCCCAGCTTAATTACCATGCATGCATCTACCTAATCCTGAACATCAAACTGAACTAACTCTACCAAAAGTTGTGGCAAAGTGACATGCCACACTATCTGTCTCGGTCAGTTTGGTTTTGTCCTGTTATCTTCGCCACGCCTTTCCACACAACTCCAATATACACGCATTCTCTGGTCGCTGCAACCCCAGAACTACCATTTCCTAATCTCCAAAAGCCAATCTGTATCACTAACAGTAACTATAGCATAACAGTCGACGAACGAACGGCTCATCATAGAAAGGTATAATTCGATCGAGATTGCAAAGAGAAATCTTATCAACGGCGCCGACATTTGGCAATGGCGATATATCAATCGCGTTCAGATGCAGGTCTAGCCGTCTATGTCCAATGTCTCTGACGACGACGACCGGATTCACGGCGTGCGAAAGAAGTGAGACTGCAAGACTGCAACTGATCAAGTTCAAAACTAGCTAGCCAACCCTATCTAACATGAGAAAAGGGTAAAGGAAAAGGGGAAGGAAAAGAGAAGCTGTCTGGTTGAAGCTGAATATCCCATCTGCAGTGTTTGTGCCATGGTTTTCCCACCTAAAAGCCGAATCAGGAGAACCTACCAATCGAACCATGTCTTGGCTTTATCGGTCGATCGAAACTGCATTGCCCCCCTGATGTTTATGGACTTATCAAACAGCGAAAGAGAAAAGTGTATTAAGATTTAAAAGCACGATAACTGAAAATGACGAGGAATTTTTTAAAACACAGTATAAACAGTCACTCACAATGCACACCCTATAAATAAGAGTCCTACTCCGGTGCTTTTTACTCGGAGTAGAAAGTAATCTAGGCCCTTGATCATATTTAATTGTAGGGTTAAGATCTAGTTCTACTCCTATCAGAATTAGTGGAAATAGAAATGTGGAGGGGTGTTTTTGTCCAGGAAAAATAATTCGCGAAGGGGTATTATTGTTTTCCGATCCATAGATCGATCACCATGTCATCCTCGTCGGAGTTGGTCGTGCAAGATCTTAATCGATCCATGTAATCCATGAAACAACACAGTGATCGGAAACGGCTAGAAGACGAATGAGCCGAGACGACGCCGCTAAGCAAATGACATTGCGTGCGTGCGTGACGCTGCCGCCGAAGCCCAGGCCGGAATTTTTACTACCGCCAGAACTCCTGCTCAAGATCGTCGCTCGCTCGGACGCCACCACACTCGTCCGCTCCCAGACGGACGATGCGACTGAGGAAGCGGACAAGGCGGCGACGGCGGGGAATACGGATGGCGACGGAGGGGGCGGACAAGGCGGTGAGGCCGGGGGAGGAATAGCGAGGTGACTGCGTGCAACGGAGTTCGGACCTGATACGATGCGAACAGAAGAAAACATCCCATGCCAAAATTACCCCTAAACGATATTAGGAGATTATTTACCTGCCCTTTAAAATAAACGGTCAAGATTAATTCTACTTAGAGTAGAATACTGCAAGTAGATTGCACCGGAGCATTACTCAATAAATAAACATGCACACCCTACATTTATGAGTGTGGTATATATATTCTGGACGACAAACATGTAGCAAAATCGATATACCTATTAATTAATTTTCTTTTTTTTTCCTCTATTGTACCCTCGACTATTGAGCATGGAGTAGCTTATTACTCCCTCCATCATTTAATATATGACGCCGTTGATTTTTTTTTATGATATGTTTAACTAGTCGTCTTATAAAAAAAGTAAGTATTATTTATTTTATTGTGACTTGATTTATTATCAAATGTTCTTTAAGCAGGATTTAAATAGTTTTATATTTTCACAAAAATTTTGAATAAGATAAATGGTTAAATGTTGGTCAAAAAGTCAATGGCCTCATATATTAAAAAATGGAGGTAGTATGTACTAATAAATTAGAGCAAAATGTAGAAAATAATTTTGGTTGATATTTTACACGAGGAAAGGGACGTGGGACGTTGAGTAAATTCTAGTGATTTTTATTTGGGCGATGTAAAAGGTGTGTAACCCAAATAGAAAGTAATTTAATGTAGCATGCAGAAAATTATCAGACATATCACATATATTAAGTTATAGAATTATAATACTGGGTTACACTTTATTACCTATCGTGCTATCTAGTGTGGATTGAACCAAGACCAGGTGACTAATTTGAATGCCGGGGATTATCAGCGCGTGATATAGTAGGTATCTTACATTTCTATTTCTATTGTCCAATAATGTATATGACCGTCCACGTATATCGCCTAAGCAGTAAAATATTCATTTGATCTGCCACTGTTAACTAAAAAGAGCCTTTTTAGTCGCAAACTAAAATAAAGATGATGTCATTGACCATACAAGTTGAAAATAGGAGCAAGATGCCCCGAAGGTCTAATGCAAGGGATTAAGGGAGGTGTTCATGGTGTGAAGTTGAGGCGAGGTTTACATTAGGCTACACAAATATTTTAGGAGCAATCACATGGGTCTCGATAAAGTATCAAGTAGTGGCCCCAACCGAATTGCTACAACCCCTTGTGTACACCAGCACATACTCAATAGGTAACACATGCGTGTTGTGAAGCTTTACCGATCACGACAATAAACTTTTAGGATGCCTACATAACACACCCGCTCAACATGACCGCGGCGCGTCCCTTCTACCCCTATCTACCAATTTATTCTTTTTATCCCCAAACAAAAATCTCCATATACGGTGTAAAAATTTCTTCGAATTTTCATGGTCACCATTTTGTTTTTCGAAAACCAAAAGAGGAGGCCCTGCCTCGATCGTAAAGCACACCTGATTTTGCACCAAATTCCAGCGGAAAACCGATGCTACAGTGACCCAGCGAGACGAAACGCACGCGACGCGAGCCGCGACCCACCCTGTGTCACGCTCGCGCCGCGGCAAGGGAGCGGGGATCGCTTCGCTTGGGCTCGCATGATAAAACCGAGGGCCGCGCGCCTTGCGTTTCGCTTCGCTACAAAACCCCCCACCTCCTCCTCCTCCTCCTCCTCCCCTTTCCTCTCTTCCTCATCCGCTCTCTCTCTCTCTCGTCGTCGACCGCCGCCGTCTGTCGCCGGAGTGGGGGCCATGGCCCCTGTGAAGGCTGAGGAGCTGGTGGCGTTCGTCCCCAAGGAGCAGTACGACGGCGTCGACTACTGCATCACCAGCCCGCCGCCATGGCGTGCGTGCTCTGCTCTCCTCTCCTTGTTACCGAGCTTAGCTTCGCTAGCCGTCGATGGAGTACTGATCGGAGTCTCTCTCTTCCTGTGTGTGCAGTGACGGCGGTGCTGTTGGCGTTCCAGCACTACCTCGTCATGCTCGGCACCACCGTCATCGTCGCCACCATCCTCGTGCCCCTCATGGGCGGCGGCCATGTGAGCCACTCCTCCTTACCTTCCTCTTTCTCTCCCCCATTTTTAGTGGTGACGAGAGATTTGATTGGGCGCGGTGTGCAGGTGGAGAAGGCGATCGTGGTGCAGACCATCCTGTTCCTCGCCGGGATCAACACGCTGCTGCAGGTGCACCTCGGGACGCGGCTCCCCGCCGTCATGGGCGCCTCCTACGCCTACATCTACCCGGCCGTCGCCATCATCCTAAGCCCTCGCTTCGCCATCGTCGTCGACCCCTTCGAGGTATGTATCACAAGCTCTTTCCTCCATTTTTTTCTTGCCTGACCACTACTCTTCTTCTCTGCTCAATCCAATGTCACACATCCACAGAGGTTCGTGTACACGATGAGGTCGCTGCAGGGCGCGCTGATCATCGCCGGCGTCGTCCAGGCCATCATCGGGTTCTTCGGAATCTGGAGGATCTTCATAAGGTGATGTTTGCTCTGCTCGTTTCTCGCCTGATCTGTTCTTGATGGATTTTTTTTCCTGCTCCGGCGAAGCATTTCGCTGATGACGCCGAGACGATCCGATCATGGGCAGGTTCCTGAGCCCACTCGCGGCGGTTCCGTTCGTGACGCTGTCCGCGCTCGGCCTCTTCTACTTCGCCTTCCCCGGAGTGAGTGTTCTTGGCCACCAAATTAACCTCATCGTCTTCTTGATTAGCATCTCCCATGGCTGGTTTAGAATGTTGGAACACTGAAACACGAACGTCGCAGGTCGCCAAGTGCATCGAGGTCGGCCTCCCGGCGCTCATCCTGCTCCTGCTCTTCACCGAGGTGACCAAAAACACCATGGAAAAATTCTCACATCAGCTTTATAGCAAGTAGTGAAAGAAATGTTGTGAATTTGGTCTGCTTTGTTGTTTGTTTGCAGTACGCGGCGCATTTCTTCGCGAGGGGGAGCTTCCTGTTCGGGCGGTGCGCCGTGCTGGCGACGGTGCTCGTCGTGTGGATCTACGCCGAGATCCTCACGGCGGCCGGCGCCTACAACGAGAGGTCCCTCGTGACGCAGTTCAGCTGCCGCGCCGACCGATCGGGGCTCATCCATGGCGCACCCTGGTAAAAAAAAAATAAATTCCGCCGACGTACGGATTCAGAGTTTCTCTGCTCGATTTTTTACCACACTGACAGCATTGCATCGATCGTGTTCGTTCTTCTTCTTCGACGAGGCAGGGTCAGGTTCCCTTACCCGTTCCAGTGGGGGTACCCCATCTTCTTCGCCGACGATTGCTTCGTCATGATCGCTGCCTCTTTCGTCTCACTGATCGAGGTAGGCATGCATCATCCTGTTCATCATCACTCAATTTCATGTTTTGTACTCCGACCGTATTTTAATAGATGGCGTCGTTGACTTTTTAACCAACATTTGATTATTCGTCTTATTTAAAAATCAATGTAATTATTATTTATTTTATTGTTACTTGATTTATCATCAAATGTTCTTTAAGCATAACATAAATATTTTTATATTTATATAAAAATTTTGAATAAGACGAATGATTAAATGTTGATAAAAAAGTTAACGGCGTCATTAAGATAGTGAGTAATCAGTAAATTTTCATTACCAGATAGATGTCTACATTAGTTGAGTTCCTAATCATTGATTTGTCACAAACATGTCTTCAAAACACTGGGGATTTGGTGAGAAGTTTCTACTTGTAAGTCTGACGAGGAATTCTGGTCGATTTCAGTCTACGGGCACGTTGATGGCGGTGACGAGATATGCAGGGGCAACGTTCTGCCCGCCTTCAGTTTTCGCTCGTGGAGTTGGCTGGCAGGTACTGAAAATAACAGAAACTTTCAGTAATTCTCACTGAGTTTTTCTGCAGAACGAACGCTCACTGCACTGCAACCTGGGCAATTTCAGGGCATATCTACCATTCTGGACGGGATGTGTGGTACATTGACAGGATCAGTAGCTTCAGTGTAAAGCACTCAGCTCTCTTAGAACCTTACCTAGACTTCCACTTAGAAGGATGGAAATAACTTGTCCTTGTATTGCTTGAGAAGTGAGAATGCAGGTCTGTTGGCCTTGACGCGAGTCGGAAGCAGAAGGGTTATAAAGATCTCAGCCTTGTTCATGATCTTCTTCTCGCTGTTCGGTATGATTTCCCATCATTCAGAATCTATCAGCAGTGTTCACCATTGCATTGTTAGCAACTCCACATTATCTGATTCTGATACAATGAGATGCCGGAAAATCAACAGGGAAATTTGGGGCAATCATTGCATCAATCCCATTGCCAATCTTCTCTGCACTGTACTGCGTTCTCTTCGCTTATTCAGGTGAGCCTTCATGATACCATCACTAATAAATTCAAGAGATCATTCATGGCCGAATGCATGATCTATGATGTAGAGGCTGGAATGAATTCATTATGGAAAATTAATATTCCGGAAGACTTACACTTGGTTTCTGCATGAGACAGCTGCTGCAGGGCTCTGCTTCCTCCAGTACTGCAACCTCAACACACTGAGAACCAAGTTCATCCTCAGCATCTCCCTGTTCTTGGGCCTGTCCATCCCACAGTACTTCAGGGAGTACGAGGTGTTCTACGTCTTCGGGCCAGTTCACACCCACTCACCCGCTGTACGTGAACCAACCCAGCTCTGAATCTCTGTTCTCTGATTGCATCAAGATCATGGCCGTTTTACTTTTCTGAATGTTTCTGAATTCTGATGATACAACATCTTTCCTTTTGCAGTTCAATGTCATCGTCAACGTGATCTTCTCCTCGCCTGCGACGGTGGCCGCCATCCTCGCCTACCTCCTGGACTGCACGCACACCTACTGGGACGGCCCGGTGTGGAAGGACAGGGGCTTCCATTGGTGGGAGAAGTTCAAGTCTTACAGGCATGACCCGAGGAGCGAGGAGTTCTACTCTCTGCCGTATGGCCTCAGCAAGTACTTCCCTTCGTTCTAGGCCAAAGGATGGCGAGAGGTAGAAGACGATGCAATCATCTGGAGCCTTTAGCTTCACTGCTGTGGCTGTTGCATGCAAAGCATTTTGGATATGAGATGTTGTGGATCTAATGAAATGAAACTTAGAATTTTGGATGGTATTACCTCTGTCAACTTGGGGGGGGGGATTCAGGGGCCTGGATGATCCTGCCATTGATTTTGATTTGGTTTTTGATCTCTGATCCAATTTGAACAGCAGAAGAATAGTAAACCTGCCAATGATCAAATGAGTTCCTCAACTAGAAATCATAATCGGTTGGAATTCGTCCCAAATTCCAGTTCATTTCGATTGCAATTAGAGCCCATTAGGAAACACACGATTTACACAATAATTATACATGATTCTAACCGAAATCTGCTAAATTCCCGCGATAATTAGGAAGAATCCGGCGTTCCGCCCTAATTGTTCTTCCTAACCGATACTACGGAATGCCGTGATGGGCCGGGAATCGCCACCACCTTGGGCACCCACACGCCGGCGTGCTGACGCCTTGGGCCGCCGATGGACGGCGGCCTGGTCGGGCCCACTACGACGCTCGCCGCCGGCGCGGTGGACTTGGCCTCCACCACCGGCGGCTTCTCCGCGACAGGCTCCGGTTTCGTCTCCCCGTTCGTCCCGAGCGCGCCGCCGCTCCGCCGGTTGCCGCCCAACTCGGCTGCCGGCGAATTGCTGATCGGCGCCGGCTGGGGGGCCTTCCCGTCCGGCGAATTGCTGACTGCGCCCTTCTTCCGGTTGCGCCGGCTCGCCGGGTTGTCGCGGCCTCGGGATGACGCACCGGCCGCCTCGGCCGGCGCGCGTGGCGCGTCGCTGGTCACCGGTGCTGTGCCCTGATCTCCCGAGGCCTTCTTCCCCTTGCTCTTCCTCTTCTCTTCCGGCGTGCCGCCGGGCGACGATGCGGTGGCCGTCTCGGCCGGCGCGGTTGGCTGTTTCGTGCCGGCGGCGACCTTCCCCTTCTCCTTGGGTTTGGGTCGCCCTTGGAACGCACTGGCCGGCGTGGCCGCGGCCTCGTCGGCCCCCTTCCTAACGGCGTCGCCTCTTATCGCCCTGCCCTTCTTCTTGGCCGCATCCTCCCTGCGCGGCGGCGGCAGCGGCAGCGGCGCCTCCGATTGAGGCGCAGCCAGAACTCCTACTGCTCCATCCATCTTCTTCACCGCACCATGCGACGACCGCGACGGCGACGGCGCCACCCGGTGCGCTACAGCCACGACTCCTATCTCCATATCCATCTTCTTCGCCGCAGCCTCCACGCGCGCCGGCGGAGGCGGCGCATCCCGGTGCGCCACAGCCATGGCCCCTATCGCCCCATCCACCTTCCTCGCCGTCGCCGCAACCTCCGTGCGCGCCTGCGGCGGCGGCGGCGACGCCCGGTGCGGCACGGGCGCCCACCGCTCCCCCCCGCGGCTCCTCTCACTGCCGCCCCGCGACTTCTCCGACGAGCCCCTCCACTCCTCCTCCGCCTTATCCGCCGCTGCCGCCTCCACCTCCCGTCGACGCTGCTGCATCTCCTGCTCCTCCTCCTCCTCCCTCTCCTTCCGGCGGAGCTCCTGGAGGTCCCTGAGGCTGACGTAGTTGGGAGGGATGCGAGGCGAGTCACGCTTCGGCCTCGAGCTCGTCGCCGACGCCGCGGCGTCCATCTTGCCCCTCCCCTCTACTCTCTCCGGCGATCGCCGGAAGCATCCAACGACAAGACGAGACCTGACCTGACCAGAGCCGATCTTTTTTTTCTTCTAAAGCGAAAAAAAGAGGAGAGGATTGCGGGCCCAGTGGATCTTCTGAGGCCGGCCGCCGGGTCTTCTGCAGGGGGGACCAAGCTAGTCGTGCCGCGTCCTTCTATAGGTCTTGGGTTTTTATTAGTACGTTTCTAGCATATAAACACGTCAATATTGAACAGAGCTTGCATGGCGAGTTAAAAGCTTTGTTCGGCTGTAAAGTTTCCAGACTTCTCAGTTCTCCCCCTCTCTCTCTTTTTTACACGCCTACAACCTAGTAAATCGCTAGACAGTATATTTTTCTATACTATTATAAAAATTAAATATATTTTTGTCTGTATTTTGATAGATCATTGGTGTTTGAGTCGTTTTTTTATGCTCGTTCGCTTTAGAAAATACAAAAGGCGTCTTATAAGAAAAAACTTGCATGCCAACTTGAGACGTTTTTAAAAACACAAAAGGAATCGTATAAGAAATCATTTAAAAAAACTCACATGCTAACTTACGATAAGAGTCGAACTCCTTACTACAACTCGTGGTTTTCAAAAAAAAAATCCAAGCGAATTCTCACAATGATTTTCACCTTAGCTAAACCGTATAACAATAATAATAAAACTAAAATAATCTTCACCCATTGCAATGCACGGATATTTTTTTCTAGTTATAAGAAAAAAATGTTGCTTCAAATATCAGAGCCCATAACTAGTTGCAGTGAAATAACTAGTTATAGGTTGCTATACAGTGCTGAAACGTGCTACCAAACAAGTTGGTAGAATTATATTTGTATTACAACTATATTTCTAATACAATTTTATTTTGCTCACAACTAGTATAAAAATTAATCTACACAGTTTTCTCATATTAACTTAATGATTTGTAAGCTTTCAGAGAGAACATAATATTAACTTATTTCAGCTTTCTCTTAAAATAGCATTAAAAATATATTACATAGTAAAAGACATCATTCCGTATATGAAATTACATGATATTAAATTTTGGTGCCAACTCTATTGGTACAAATATTCATATTTATCTTAGTAGAAAATATTGTTAGCACTATAAGTATAGTAACATTGTGATTGTTTTGAAAAGAAACATTGTGATTGTGGTTTATAGTTCATAGGTCGGTCAAAAAGTCTCATATCTATCTATTAAGTACACAATGCCTCTAACATGTTCATATTACTTTTTCTTAAACATGAGACTTTTCCGGAAACACCAAACATACGTCGCGTACAAAGAATGCCTCTAACATGTTCCTATTACTTTTTCTTAAACACGAGACTTTTCCGGAAACACCAAACATACATCACGTACGAAGAACGCATGAAGACTTTTCTAAAACATCAAACACGTGTCACGTACAAAGAACGCATGAAGGCCTTATTTAGTTATAATCCATCCTCAAGGGGATAAGAGAATTGAAGGGAATTACTTTCACACTTACCCCTCAAAAATCTTTTTCTTACTGGGATTAACCGAAGCACTAAACACGTGTAGTGTACAAGCAACACATGAAGGCTTTATTCAGTTAATCCATCCTCAAGGGGAGGAGAGAATTGAAGGGAATTACTTTCACACCTACCCGTCAACCTTTTACTTATGGGGATCAACTGGAAAGCCTGAGGAGTGTGCAAATTGCTAGATGACAAAATGCCACCACAAAAATAGGTAGATGTTGGTGTGCTTGTTTTTTTTTTAATACGCATGAGTATGTGTATCATTTCATTAAGGAAGAAACGATAAGGGAGTGGCTAAAACGCCCCCTGCCCCCCAGCCCCCAAACAATAACAGCATACTGCTACACAAACACAACTCACTCGACCTGACCTTACCCAACCAAAGTAATCAACTTTCTAAGAAACTCACCGAGTTTAGAGGCCCCAACCATACAAGAAAGACCATATTCATTTGCTACCATTTGAATGACAGACATAACATTAACACTAGCCCCATAAAACATACAATCATTTCTATGCTTCTATATTTCCTTAGAAAGTCGCCTTGACCCACCAACTAGAAAAATGATTTGTACCTTAGTTTGGTGAGACGAAAACCAATCTCAACCTTTGAAGGATTAGGAACCAAACCTATTGAAAGAAGACGCGGTTAACAAGAATGTGCTGAATGGATTCCTCAGCTTGATCACACAACAAACATGCGATAGGGTGAGGCAGCCCTCGCCTTTCTAGATGGTACGCCGTCCAACAACGGTTGTTGATTACTAGCTACACAAAAAACTTGCATTTTAGAGGCGCTTAACTCTTCTAAACTCTTTTCCACAGGGGAAAAAACTTGCAAGTGTAAGCCTCCAACTTAGACAAGGCAGTGAGGCACTACTTAATAACTACTCCCTCTATTTCATACCTTGTCGCAGGACACTACTATACATTCACTCTTAACCACTCCTGTTTTATAGATAAATTTGTAGGTATTACAAATGTGTCATATTACTTAAGGTTATACACGATAAATACAAACATTCCAATTACATAATAAACGATTTAGAAGTTACTAGTTGTCAAACTAAAACAGCGTCCGACAAAATTGACAAATATTCAGAAACGGATATAGCAGGTGATAACGTCCATCTGTTCTTTTTTCCTCTCACCTTTTTACGCAGTTGCCAAATATACGCACTGAAATGTATATCATAGCAGTTGGCGTAGAATAAACCTAATATTTCATCTAAAGAAACACACATTTAGTAGTATTATGAGACATTTTGACTTCCATATAACATTAGTACGCAAGTAACACATTCTCAAATAGTCCAATCAGAGATACTAAATATTATGCCATGATAAAATCCTCAGTTTACCACTTTTTTGATACAAGACAGCAAAAGTGGGAGTTCTTTTTTTATATATGAATGGATCCAAATAAGAAAACATCCGTTCATTTCCTACAGTTCACCGCTGGGTATGGATTAAAATGACCATGGAGTACCGGTAATCCTCCTGCCACCTCATGAAATATGCACTCACTGGCCCCTGCAATAAGCAAATACTTTATCAATGAAAGAGAGAGTGATTCATACAACACGAACTATACAGCAACAATTGGACATTTATACGTGAAAACTTTCATGCAGCGTAATGCTTTGCCAAAACAGAAAAACATAAACAAAAACAACATCAGCATACCAAATATCACTATGTATTGGCATATTATGAGCACTGAGTTGGATAGATAATGTGCATGCCAACTTTTATGATAATGCATAATCAATCAGTAACCAACCACAATTATGCTTGTATTTCAAATGACAGTTGTAGAAATATGCAATTTTTAAACGATTATGAAAGCATGCAATTTTATTAAACTGAGCACTGAAGGTCTACATGTAAATTGTCTTTCATTCTTCGTTAATACCAAATGAAACAAAGCAAACGATAGACCTCTGGGATGCTCTATATTTCCACAATTCCACATTGTATTCCTAAACATTTCTCAGATTTACCAACTATTGGTAGAAAAAGTCCCGTACTGATCAATTCAATTTGAGCATTTATAGTAGTTTGGTTACATACGAAATATATGGTGAACATCTATTAAAATTAGGGCATTGACCTTTTTTTTTCTTCAGATTTCTAATCTTCTAGCAGAACAGTATTTTGTACTGGTCAATTCAACCAGATATGCTATAATGCTACTCCATCCATTTCATATTATAAGTCGCTTTGACATTTTTCCTAGTCAAACTTTGTTAAGTTTGACCAAGTTTATAGAAATATTTAGTAACATCTAAAACACCATATTAGTTCCATTAAATCTAACATTGAATATATTTTGATAATATATTTGTTTTGTGTTGAAAATGCTATTATGTTTTTCTATAAATTTGGTAAAACTTAAAAAAGTTTGACGAGAAAAAAAGTCAAAACAACTTATAATATGAAAGGGAGGAAGTTAAAAGTTGAATTTAGGGGCATCATGACTGTGCATATGCATAGTGGAAAATAATTATGATACCACTTTGCACAGCCACCATCAAAATGCAATTACTATTCCATAGTCACAAATTTAAAATAATTGCTCTGAAAAGTAAGTGAATATTGCTCAAATTCATGTTGTCTCATGTAGGAATGGTTTACATATCCAGAGTATTGCTCTGAAAATCAACGACCGGTATTTGTTCATTAATCTGCCTAGTAATAGTGATTAACCTAACTGGCTAACTCTGAGGTGTAAACAAGGAATTGTAACAAGTAGGGACACCGATTCCTTGTAGATGGCTTAGTAGATTTTTTTAGAATACTGATCTGGTACAACCTAAAGAATTGTAACAATAAGATAAAACAACTACAAAGATCAGTAGGCTCCACATCTCTGTATATTGTACCATATTGGTTTGTTGTAATACTAAAGGTGGTCTGGTTCATTCACTAACTGATACAGATAAGTTTCATTGGCTATATGCCTACTCCCTCTGTCCAAAAAAAAACTCAACTTCTAGAGTTTGAATTTTGTCCCACAAAAAACCAACTTCTACCATCTTATCTACCCTCGGCATGCAAAACGAGAAGTTTTATTCCTTCAATACCCTTTACCTACCTATTACTCTTACTATTTTTTTCAATAATTAAGGGCATTTTAGTCATTCTCCATATCCACTAACTCCGCCTTGAAATGCTAGGAATGGATTTTTTTGGGACGGAGGGAGTATGTCCTAACTGATTGCTGCCCAAAGGCGGCCGTGGAATAGTAGCTCATATTATACAACTAAGCTGCTTGATTACAAAACAACCTTCTTGCATCAGGCAAAAGTATTGTAGGATTAAGCAGCAACTATACCATCATACTCACATGCACCACCAGCAAGACCACAAAAGTAGGCCTGCATCAATTCCTCCAGGAGATTTTTCAGTGAACATAGTTTATGGTGAGAATTGGTTTTGAAAAGTCTATTTTGACATCGCTATAAACTTGTATCTACCTCATCGATGGGATGGTGACAATATTGGTCAGGGACAACAAATCGTGGCGCAGCAGATCACTCATTTCCATCTACCGCAGCTCAGGTACTGACAATCCAGCGATCACTCATTTGATCAAACGCATCCCAAGTGCAACCTAATCCGTTTCCTGCTTTACAACAGTCGCCTGATATAACTCAGGCTTGCATAAAACCGGCCAGCCATTTCGTCGAACACTTGGCGAGCATGAACAAAAGCACTAACTCCGGCCAATGACAACGATAATTCTATAACACAGCAACTCGCACCCACGAGGGCACAGGAATGGCGTAGTAGCAGGATGGAAGTAGTGACAGGGAGGGGGAGGCGGCGCTGACCTGATCTTCTTGATGAGGATGTCGCGGAGCTTCTTGCCGAGCTCCTGGGAGCGGACGCGCTGCATGAGGGCCTTGCGGGCGAGCACCCGCTTCTCCGAGTCCTTGACGTGGTGGTGGATCTGGCTCCGGGCCCGGATCAGCCTCTCGATGCCGCTCGACCGCATCTTGCGCGCCATTACCCCCAGCGCGCGCTCCAGGTTGCCGTCCTTCACATGTACCACGATCCCCCGCGCCTGCTGCACTCGCGCCGCAGGCGCCGCCGCCGTCGCCGGCAGGATCCCCCGCGCCGCCCGTGCCAGTGCCTGCATCGCTGGTTCCCTCCCGCCGCCTCCGCCGCAGCCGCCGAGTGTGTGGGTCGCGTTGCGGCTGCTACGCCCTTCAATTTTCTCCTTTCGGTGCATCGAGATTCGGGACAGACCGCTGGGTATATCCAAGGACCGTCCGTTTCTCGTCTCCCTTTTTTTGCGGTAAGGTCCCTGAAATCTTGTGATTTCGCATTTTAGTTGCCTCTCTCCCAAATCCCAATCCCGACGGCAAGCAGAAGTGCAGAACCCTCGCCGCCGCCGCCGCCGCCGCCGCCACCGACTACCCATCGACGGTATGTATTTCTCTATCTCTGTTATTTTTTTTCTCTCCTCGCTCGTACTGTGGATAAAGCGGATCCAATCCATGACATTTGGGTGATTTGTAGTGGGTGCTAGTATCGATCCCTTTCGTGGATTCTGGGTGCTACTGGTTATCGTTAGGTTTTTTTAGGGGAACATTTCTAGCTTCTTTGTAATTTTTTTTTGAACCTGTTAGGAGTTTTGGCTTCCAGTTCAGTCTGGAATTTTTTTTTCATTCTTGAACATTTCACACACAAGGAACCACGGTATGTCTTAGCTTCAATTTAGGGGCCTTTTGACACCACAGTGTGTCATAAAGTTGATATGGATATATATCCCCTCAAAGTAACTTAGTTGATTGAACTTAATAGCAGTGAAATGCTAACGTGTGTTGTTTCTTGTATGTGCATCTGAAAGTTATTGCATGTCCCAAATTTTCTTTGTTTGAACCAAATAGCAGGGGAAAGAGCCATTCATTAGGAAATACTGAGATTGACTTTGACATGTAAATTCAGGATTATTATTATTTTTAATTTAATGTGCACAAAATGCTAGCTCATTCTTTGAAGAAGCAATTTGCAGCCCGTTGCACATGCACACTATTTATGCTATGGAAGAAAAGAAAGGTAGGATTCAAAAGAGAAGATGCCTACCTGATACAATCTTCCTAGAGTAAAGTTGTCATTTCCTGCTTGTGGTATTGTTAGCAAGTCCTGCAAGTCTCAAATGTCAAGACAGCTGCGTCAGTGTTATCAGCTACATTTTGTTGATTTGCTGCTGCTTTTAGAATTTCAGTGATGTATTCTTATGGAGAAAGGTGATTTCTCCTTGCTTATTTTTTTCTTGTGGAGAACAGTTCTCACCTTTTTTTCCCTGTGATATTCTCGGGGTTTTAGCCTTTTCACCCTGGAATCTCTTTAACTCTTGGATGTTGCAAAAGCAATGGCAGTGCGATATATCTCTAAGTCTTCGTTTGCTTTTTTTTGTACAGTCAGAAATTCAAATCCCCCCTGTGGCAGTTTGAACGTGTAGTATTTTCTTCCATCAATCCTTTTATAAGTGAAATGCTTCTTGTTTCAAAATTTAAACAATTTCCAGCATTTTGGCCTGGAAGAAGAAAGGTTTCATCCACAGGCAAGATGTCTACCTGATACAATCTCTCTAAAATAAAATTTCCATTTCATGCTGTCATGGTGTTAGGATGTTTTACAGGTTTAATCAGTCCAATAAACCCCCTTAATACCATATCTGATAAGCATATGTTCACCTGACCTATAGTTCCTAAGGTTCAACTCAAATTGCGGTAAGCCCTAATTAACAGTGGTAGGAACATTAAGGTAACTAATTTTCCATGGATCCTTCAACACTGTAAACCGTGATTTAGATGCCCATTCTATGTCACATTTTCACTTTCTGTACTATGTAATACTATATATACATATGGAAGGTAAAAACTCAGCAACTTTAGCACTACATAATGGAAGTTCCTGAATTTTGGCAGTAATTGTTGTAGCTACTGCGTACTGAATCAGTTCTTTACTAAAAGGCTAATGATGAGAACTTGTGGACAACTGAAGTTTCATGCAAAAATTGTGAACTAGTTCACTATCCCATGCTTTCCCTAGTTTCATGTGACATAATATCCGTCTGCAGTGGTGAAGCTTCATGGAGGCCAGAGTGGGTTTTGGCCCCCTCCAGTTCCATACAAATTACACTATGTTAGTGTATGGTATATTCATAGGTTTTCATTAGCTGTCTTTGACAACTATTGATGCATAACCCATGTTAACACCCCCTTCTTAACAGTCTGTGAAGCTCTGCCATCTCACCGTCTGATGTCGATGCACATTGTATGCTATGTGCTATGTTTACGACTTTATGTAGTCCTGACTTTATTATAGTCTGAAACATCAATTATTGGTTCTCTTTATTCATCCTCGCCATCTGGATGTGCTTTTGGCTAATCCTCTTTTTATTTTTCTTGGCTTGCAAAGCTGCTTAATTGGCCGATATGGTTATCCCTCCTCCAGCTAGGGCTCCTGCAATCACCAAGTTCCTGAAGCCCTATGTTCTCAAGATGCATTTCACAAACAACTTTGTGAGCGCCCAGGTCATCCACACCCCATCTGCCACGGTTGCATGCTCGGCGAGTTCACAGGAGAAGCTTCTTAGGCCAAGCATGGAGTCCACACGTGATGTCGCCGCGGCGGCGAAGATCGGGAAGCTGCTTGGCGAGCGCCTGCTGTTCAGAGGCATTCCTGCGGTGTCGGTCTCCATGTCAAGGGACCAGACGTACCATGGCAAGGTCAGGGCCGTCATGGATTCTCTTAGAGCCGCCGGTGTGAAGTTGCTGTGATGGAAGCCGACCATTTGTAGCATCTCTGCTTGCAGTTTCTGACATGTAAATATGTTTTGTTGGGTACGTACTGCCGTCCTCTGAAATTTCATTTTAGCTTGCATAATGTCGTCCACTGAAGACTTGGTGAATCTGAACTAAGGAGCTGTTTGGTTGGGTTTTTTTTGGCCGGGATCTGTTTAAGGTGGAATCCGATACTGTTATTTTGTGACCAAAGCTTGCAAAACTACAAATATTTTTTTTATCAAAATACTACAAAACTATATATAACGATGTATTACGAAACTGTATATTTTAATGTGAAATATCACAAACCTACAGATTTACTAATTTAGTTATCATAAAATTATGATGTTGAGTTTAGACTCCTGGCACCACTATTTTGCTGTAGTTAATATTCTGCTAGATTTATTGACACTCTGGTTTTGGGATAAGATTTGATGCTAAATCTATAGTTTTGTGACAATCCACCTAAATATGTATTCTTCTAATAAATTTGTTGTAAATCTATACTTTTATGATACATTTTCTTAAATCTCTATTTTTAATAGTTTGCTCAAAGTATATAATTTTGTAACTTTTTTTGTTGTTTTGTTTTAATTGGGCTGGAATCGATTTCACGTTGTGGAAAAAGTACACGTGAGCTCCTTCGTCTTGTCGTTGAGTTACAAAATCGTTCTTGAACTAAAAAACCAGATATATGGCATCTCTCAAGATACACAACTAGGTACTTAGGCGGTATTGACCCTGGTTTTGTCTGACGTGATAGCCGAGTCAACATGAAACCTAGGTGGGTTCCACGTGTCAGCACCTCAATCCTGTTCCACCTATGTTCTTCCTCTTCCCATCTCAATCCAAGCCTCCAGCGTGGCCAATGACGGATGGGGGGTGGTGGGTAGCGGGAGAGGCGCGTGGTGGCTGACAGTGCCCTCACTAGCGAAGACGGATGTGGGAGTGCCAAAGCAGGGGAGCATGGGGGGAGAGCGAAGGGGGGAGCATGGGGATCGCCCCGAGCCTAGTGAACTCCGCCTCTCCTCGTCACCTTCATGGATGGATCTGCCCAAGCTGGATCGTCGTTGCATTACCGCCTCGGGCCTCCTCCCATGCTAACTCAACTGCCACGCCAGACAAAACCGGGGTCGATGCCGCCTAAGTACCTAGAGTGACTTAGTTTTGTAAATTGAGGGATGTCATATATCAGTTTTTTCGGTTGATGGACAATTTTGCAATTCGGTGACAACATGAGGGACCTCGTATGTACTTCTTTTTTCCTCACGCTGTAAGCAGATACCGGGCTGCCGAGTTAAAGCCCATCCCACTCGCCCAGAGTAAAGCGGTAGCTCTACGGGGCCCAACTCCTCTCACACGTTCGCTCTTACCCCAAAACCCTTCGCCCTCTTGCTGCTGCGCCGCCGCCGCACGCGATTCCTCCTGCTCCCGTCGGCGGAAGCTAATCCCCCACCATCGCCTGCCTGCCGCGTGCGCCGATCTCCATCCTTGAGCAGCAGCGCGCGGGCGTCCTGCTGCTTCCGCCGCATCCTCGCTCTCCGGTGAGCATCCGTCCTCTTCGTCATCCCATCCCTCCCTACCCACACACCTTTTTCTCGGATTCGCGTTAACCCTAGCTTCTCTTCTAGCACCGGAAGCTTTTCAATTTGCCTTAACTTTACTAATGACAGTTTATTTTTGTTAATCAAAAAGTTTGGGGTTGTTCAAGTGAAGCACCATGTCCAGCGTTACCCCTGCTGCCGACGCGCAGCCACTCGATGAGAAAGAGCTGGAGCGGAAGCTGAAGAAAGATCAGAAGGTATTTGATCAAACGCTATCTTCTTAATTATATTCATTTCTTTGGCCTAGATTACTTCTCTGTCACCAGCTGGACTCAAAATGGTCATTGATTTTCACAATGATAAAATCCAAGGTGTTCACTACTATTGCACATTTGCACATGACAAAAGTCACTGATGTGTGAACTGTTCTGCGCACAGGCAAAAGAGAAAGAGGAAAAAAGGCTTAAGGCGAAGGCAAAGGAGGCGGCTAGGCTCCAGGTTTGAACATGATTAGTGAATTTCTATGTGACTGAATGTAAAACCAGATATCTACTCGGTGAAATGCTCTGTAGAGATGGGTCTTCTTCTATTTTCGTGCTGATTTACTTTTATGTAGGCACAAGCAGCTTCAGATGGACCTAAGAAAAGCGAGAAGAAGCAAAGGAAGAAAGCTGTGGAGGATGAGAATCCTGAGGATTTCATTGATCCAGACACTCCTCATGGGCAGAAGAAATTTCTTGCATCTCAAATGGCCAAGCAGTATAGCCCAACTGCTGTTGAGAAATCGTAAGATGCTACCATGTTTTTCTCTATCTTATAATTCATACAATAAGAAAGGCCTACTGAACTTCTGCATGCATTTGTTTCCTCCCACCTTAATGCAGATGGTATTCCTGGTGGGAATCATCAGGATATTTTGGGGCAGATGCTGCAAGCTCAAAGCCACCATTTGTTATAGTAAGTGGATCATACTTCGAAGTTTAGAGAGCTGCTTTTCATGGAATCAATTATGTATTTTCTACATGCAGCAAATTACCCCATATATGTTGCTGCCAAACAGCTAAATTATTTCTTTTCAGGTTTTGCCACCTCCAAATGTCACTGGAGCGCTTCATATAGGCCATGCACTTACGGTGGCTATAGAGGTACATCATTATTCTTGTGGAGACATATCCATAGTAACATTATCGATGTTAGCTAAACATTGGATAATGATTTTAACGTCCCTGCATTTAAGCAATGCAGGATTCCATGATACGCTGGCGGAGGATGTCAGGTTATAACACTCTGTGGGTTCCAGGAGTTGACCATGCAGGAATCGCTACTCAGGTCTATATCTTCGATTTGTTTCACCATCATCTGAAATTTATCTTACGAAACATTCATCTGCAGATAATATAGATTACTTGATATATCTTTGTCGCTATTACTTTCTATTAAACATACTAACAATTTGGTCAGTCGCCAATGGGCAAACACATGGCAGCATTGGTTATATTAATTTACAAAAGCTCCAAATGGAATGCTGTCCTTTTTCTAAAATATCTTTTCTCAAAATAAATTGTCAACACATGTTGCTCAATTTTGTTCACCGTATCGTTATTTCCCCTCTAAACCAATAATCATTTTTGCCTCTTAAATTTCTCTGATCTCATGTATATCAGGTTGTAGTGGAGAAGAAGCTTATGCGTGAAAGGAATTTGACAAGGCATGACATAGGGCGTGAAGAATTTGTATCTGAAGTAAGCATTATTTTTCCTGAACAAAATTTTATGCCTGTTAACTCTGTATTCTTTTGATTATAAATGAGCAATTTATTACCATTATCATATGAATATCGAAATGGATCCATGTTGTTAGACGTTATGGAAATTGTGGTGAGCATATAATATTATGCATTCAAAGGATAGTGTTCTTTACTTGTTTAGTTTCACTCCCCATGTGTCTACCTTTCTCTTGTTTATTCTGTTTTATCTATCATATTCTGGACAGGTTCTCAAATGGAAAGATGAATACGGGGGTACCATATTGAATCAATTGCGTAGGCTTGGGGCCTCACTTGATTGGTCCCGCGAGGTACATTTACTACTTTCTGTAGTTAGGAGATAGTATGAGTATACTTATGACAATACTTGAGCAATAAGTTATTTTATACTACCTCCATCCTAGAATATAAGAAGTTTTAGAGTTGGACACGGTTATTAAGAAAATAAGTAGAATTAAATAGAAAGAGCTTGTGATTGGTTAAGAAGTGAAGGTAGGTGGGAAAAGTGAATGGTGGAGGGTTGTGATTGGTTGGGAAGGGAATGTTGGTGGAGAAGTTGTTATATTTTGGGACAAATCCTGAGTGCTAAAAGTTGTTATATTTTGGGACGGAGGGAGTAGTTCTTATTCTGAATATTAACTTCCCCTCTACCTTTGCAACAGTGTTTTACAATGGATAAACCAAGATCAAAGGCTGTAACTGAAGCTTTTGTCAGGTTGTACAAACAAGGCCTGATATATAGGTCAGTTCCATCACCTTATTTTGTTGTTAGAGTTGAACATTTGTTCCTTCTATTGATTGCACCATTATGTTTTTACCTGTTTGCTTCTATACAGTTGATTTTGGTTGTTGTTTGCCATCTTAGTTTTATTTTTCCTCTTATGGATGGCATGCTTCTATACAGGGATTATCGCCTCGTGAATTGGGATTGCACCCTTCGAACAGCAATTTCTGACGTAGAGGTTGTTGAGACTTTTTATTGTGTATGATGGTGGTTGCAATTGCACGCATAACTAAAATTGATCTGTTTGTTTGAAATTTCTGTTTTGTTAGGTTGATTATCTAGAGATTAAAGAGGAAACTATGTTAAAGGTTCCTGGTTATAATACAACTGTACAATTCGGTGTGTTGATCTCTTTTGCATATCCACTTGAGGAAGGATTGGGTGAGATTATTGTCGCAACAACAAGAATCGAAACAATGCTTGGGGATACAGCCATTGCTGTTCACCCTGAGGATGGCAGATACAAGCATCTGCATGGTAGGTATGCAATCCATCCCTTCAATGGCCGAAAGCTCAAAATAATCTGTGATGCTGAGTTAGTGGATCCCACTTTCGGTACTGGGGCTGTCAAGGTAGGAGCTGATGCTGACTTCTTGACTATCTCTGTTTAATTTAATCTACTTGGATCTTCTGCATACACGTTTGCTTATCTTATATGCAGATTACACCTGCCCATGATCCAAATGATTTTGAGGTTGGAAAGCGACACAACCTTGAGTTCATCAATATCTTCACAGATGATGGAAAAATAAACAACAATGGAGGTGCACAATTTGTAGGAATTCCAAGATTTACTGCTCGAGTTGCTGTTATTGAGGCACTGAAGGCAAAGGTACTGCTAGATTTGCTAAATCATCCTTTCCCAGCATCTTGTGATCCAATCTCTAAACATTTCTTTGGACTATTGCTGGTTTGTTATGGATTTATGCACCATTGCAAAATAGTATCAGAGTGAAAAGCACTTACCATGAATGTTTTAGGGCATTCTTGCATATTTATATTTTTCTATAACTCAGTCCAAAGAATAAATCTGATAGTGTAAGCGATAAGGAGTTAGTGGAATATAGCATGAAGGTTTCCTACTTTTGACATTGTCCTGTCCCCCATCCTCTCTCATTTTTCTATTAGTGGGTCTCTTAGCACAGTATTACTTTTATGAGAAATAAGATGTCTTGGTTTCTGTAGACATCAGTGGTTCTATTAAATCTCGAATCCTGCATTTTGTTAATGCTTTTATGGTCGGGTATCTATAACAACTATGTGTAAAACAGCATTGAACTGTTTATGTAACCGGATAATCTCACCAATTTTGTTCTGTCAGCTTTCTTTCCATTTGGTTTGCTGTGGGTTTTGTTCAAGTATTATTGAAGCTTGATTCTTACCACTTTATGTTCTGCAATATAAGGGCTTGTACAAGGAGACAAAGAAGAACGAAATGAGTTTGGGTGTTTGTTCAAGAACTAATGATGTGGTGGAGCCTATGATAAAACCCCAATGGTTTGTTAATTGCAATACCATGGCACAAGCAGGTATTGATGCTGTAAGGTCCAAAAGAATTGAGATTATTCCACAACAGTATGAGCAAGACTGGTATAGGTAATGTCTATCACCTTCTCATTTGTCAGTTGAGAATTATCTCACCTATTATTGCAAATGGCATCATATATAGGCAATGGAATTAGAAGGAAAATAATCCATCCATTGTCATGCCCTTACAGATGGCTTGCAAATATACGTGATTGGTGTATTTCGAGGCAGCTTTGGTGGGGACATCGCGTTCCTGCTTGGTATGTTATACTAGAAGATGATCAAGAGAAAATTCTGGGTTCTGCTAATGGCCGTTGGATTGTTGCTAGAAACGAAAGTGAAGCAAACCTGGAGGCACAGCAAAAGTATCCTGGGAAGAAATTCGAGTTACATCAAGATCCTGATGTGTTGGATACATGGTTTTCATCTGGTCTCTTCCCATTAACCGTACTTGGTTGGCCAGATGATACAGCTGACCTTAAAGCTTTCTACCCTGGTTCGGTGCTAGAAACTGGACATGACATTATCTTCTTTTGGGTAGCACGGATGGTGATGATGGGGATGCAACTTGGTGGCGATGTGCCATTTGAGAAGGTAATGGCAATTGCATGGATGTGCTTCCTGTGCCATTAAAACTGTATTATAACATTTTAGCAGTTCAATCTATACATTTCATCCAGTTTTTACACTATTGTCTTTCATACAACAGTATAATTCTGATCGAAATTCAAACATGAAAAAATCTATCTTCAAATTGCTAGCTGTGGATGTTATAATGAAGGAGAAGTCTATTTGAGACTACTTCGTTCGTGAGCATCATTATTTTCTGCTCTGCCATTTGTCTTCAATAGGTCACACTAATTTCATCTGAATGTACTCTAGTAGCTTGTTAATTTTGGACATATATTACATTTTTGTCAACATGCTACTTCGACTAGGCACAATACATGGTTGATTGGGAACTATCCTCAGCTGAACACACAAGTTTACCTTTTATTTCAGATTTTAAAATCTATTATTTTTCTTAGTTTGATTTTTGAATTACTTCGTAACCTAAGACGTGTTTAACTGCAACTAGAAGTATTACTTACACTGGTAAGTGAGGCGATTCTAGCTGAACACGCTTAAATTGGGGCTCTGCTCTCTTGCTCAGGTTTATTTGCACCCTATGATACGTGATGCTCATGGACGCAAAATGTCCAAGTCGCTTGGTAATGTCATTGATCCCGTTGATGTGATAAATGGCATTTCACTGGATGGTCTCCTCAAACGTTTGAAAGAAGGCAATCTAGATCCAAATGAATTGAACATTGCAACAGAAGGGAAGAAGAAGGATTTTCCTGATGGCATTGCTGAATGTGGTACCGATGCTCTCCGTTTTGCACTGGTTTCTTACACTTCGCAGGTTGTAATTACACCCATTTCAGTTTCTGTTGTATTATGCTTGCAATTCATCTCCTATGGATTTCTCTCTTGGTTCACAGTCTGACAAGATAAACCTGGATATCAAACGAGTTGTTGGATATCGACAGTGGTGCAATAAATTATGGAATGCCATTCGTTTTGCAATGGGCAAGCTTGGCAATCATTACACTCCCCCTGCAACTATTTCTGTAACTACAATGCCACCCATATGCAAATGGATATTGTCAGTACTTAATAAAGCTATTGGCAAAACTGTCACCTCGTTAGAAGCATACAAATTTTCTGATGCTACATCTGCTATATACTCGTGGTGGCAGTACCAACTATGTGATGTGTTCATAGAAGCTATAAAGCCTTACTTCTTCAATGACTCTCAAGAGTTTGAATCAGCAAGAGCTGCCTCTAGAGATGCCTTATGGGTTTGCTTAGACACTGGTTTGCGCTTGCTCCACCCATTCATGCCTTATGTTACAGAAGAGCTCTGGCAGCGTCTTCCTCAGCCTAAAGATTCTTGTCGGAAAGATTCCATTATGGTATCAGAGTACCCATCTGTTGTTAAGGTATTATCTTAAAGAAGACATAATTTGTGTTTGGAAATATAATTGAACCAATATATAAGATAGCACACATTTACCAATGGAGACATATCTTTCTTTATGACAGGAATGGACGGATGATAAACTTGAAAATGAGATAGATATTGCCTTAGATACTATCAACAAACTAAGATCTCTGAAGCCACCATCTGATACAAATGAGAGGTGCGTGTATAATCATCTATCTTAATTTGTGCTATTCCTGTAATATACATGATGTGTTGTCAGATTCATTTTGTTCAATACGAAAGCGTAATATATCTCTTGCTTATTTTTCCACAAACAGACGACCTGCTTTTGCACTTTGCCGAGGCCAAGAGATTACTGCCACCATTCAGTGTTATCAGTCTCTAGTTGTGTCTCTTTCTTCCACATCATCTCTAAAGGTTCTGCCTTAAACTTCTGTACTATTATGTATGCATGCATTTCTCTATTAGCAAAATATTTAGATTGAAATTTATACTGAAACCTGGGATGGAGTATTATTAGTTTAGTACCTCATAAAACTTATGTTTCTTACCATCCATGCGTTTGAAAATTCCCCAAAAGTCCTGCCTGAGTTGAAAGATCTTGACAGAAGAACTGATCTGATATTTGAAACCATTCAGATCCTGACAGAGAATGATGAAACGCCACCTGACTGTGCAACAGCTGTTGTAAACAAAGATTTGTCTGTATACCTTCAACTCCAAGGAGCTCTCAATGCAGAAGTTGAGCTTGAAAAGCTGAGGAAAAAGAGAGAAGAAATTCAAAAGTAAGCGTACTTATGTTATCTCAAAATATCTTGAATGAAGATTTGCCTATGTTTCACTGTTCCCCTGCGCTAGAAGGATATAACTTACTATTACCATGCACGCAGGCTCCAACACGCACTGTCACAGAAAATGGAAGCTTCTGGTTACAAAGAGAAGGCTCCACAGAATGTCCAGGAGGAGGACATGAGAAAACTCACTAGTTTTTTTGAACAGCTAGAGATTATCAGTGAAGCTGAAAAGAAGCTAGATGCAAAAACTGGCAATAATTGACCCAGAAATCTCTGATGTGATTTTGAAGATGCACATTTGTTGAAGTTTATCTCAAATTTTTTGCATGGTTACCTTAATCATACCTGAATGCCCAGGTACTCATTTTTATATTTTGTAGCTTGAAGAGTATATTCACAGCATTATACTTTTGTAGTTTTTGGTTGTCCAATCTTCCGTTTGAAAATATTTTTTGTGGTGTTGATTTTTCTTACCTGCGCCGCTTCGGCATCAGAATCATGGGCCGCTTGCTTTTATCATGTCCTTATTCGTTCTCTTGTGTTTTATGTTCATGTCAGAGTGTGCGTGCATGCAAGGGGTATGTTGGATAATTCTTTTAGTACGTTACGTATATATACACGAGTTTCTTATAATTAAGTGTACCAGTTAATCAAACTTTCCAGGGGTGAATTGCTAACGTGTGTTGCTTCTTGCATGTGCATCTGGAAGTTATTGCATTTTCCTTTTTTTTTTTGAACTAAATAGCGAGGAGAAGAGCCATTCATTAGCAATTGAATTTGACATGTAAAGTTAGGATTGTTTATACCTTATTGTGCATAATAATGTGCTAGTTCACATGCACAGCTGTCTATGCTATGGAAGAGAAGAAATGCAGCATTCAAAAGAGATGCCTACCCGATACAATCTTCCTATAGTAAAGTTGTTACTTCCTGCTTGTGGTATTGTTAGCAAGTCCTGCAAGTCTCAAATGACAAGACAGTGCTAAGCAACTTGTATCATATCGTTGATTTGCTGCTCTGCTTTCGGGGTTCCAGGGATGTTACTTGTTTGGCATGGCACCAGCTTCCAGGGAGTTGGAGCCCAGCGAGTCTAGGTTACTTCACAGCTCTTTAGAAATTGGAGTTCTATCAAACGGACTTATTTTTCAGTGTTTTTTTTCCTTAGTGGAGAATGCTTCATGCTTATTTTTATTGTGGAAAACCGTTCTTGCTGCTTTTTTTTTTGTGATTATATGTCACTGTTTTAACCAGTTTACTCCATGACCTGACAAAACTGAACCGTGTGAGACCCAACAAAATGTGTAATTGATTTGAACACGGTTAGCCCATGATGTGTGATTGATTTCGGAAGGTGATTCTGAAACTGATTGAATAGGCAGTAATGTATTTCTACAATCATTATACATTGTTTTACCGATCAAATTAAGCGAGATAGTTTTATTGTTGGCACCTTGAATTAAAAAAAGAAAACATCTAAAAGCGGCATTATACAGAAGATGCACACATACTACACTCAGACTCACAAGTCACAAGTACGCCCCTTATGCCCCTTAACAGGCTAACACGCTAAAACAGAGACTAGCGGCGTGTGCTTAATAACCAGTGCTTTGCCAAATGAGATTATCATCATCCAACGCAATACATACCATCAGTGCTTTGGTTACAAAGACGTTTTATTTGAATTCTAACTTTCCAAGCAATCATATGTTCATATGGTAATCTTAGTTAATTGATGCACTATTGAATTCCTAGTAATAAATCATATTGGTAATCTTAGTTTAATTGTTTTGTACTAACTAGGAAGTTATGATCACGGGGAACGTTGAGATTACCATGAATCTCGATTTACCGTAACGAAAGACGCACTAATCTACGTTAATCTAGGATCGATCTACGTAAATTCCTCGTTCGTTCTTCTATTTCTTACGTGCATCGGCCATGTTAAATATGGCTGATAAATTATCAACTTACCGAATTAAGTACGTACGTGTAGGTTTTCCTAAAGGAATATATTTGGTCATGCATGTCGCAAAGAAGCACAGTTTCTACTTAATTGGCGATTAAGAGACGAAATCGGTGTAGTTACACAAGATTAATTTGTACACTAGCGACATGATGAAGAAGTCAAGCAACGTACGTTCGTATATATCCCGAAACTTATTGCTGAGTTAACTCAAGCTTTGGCCGGTTCTCCTTGATAATCTGCGTCATATCAGACTCAAAACAAATCCCTGATAATTTCGATGTATTTTGAATTTTTATTTCTTCCAAAAAAATCCTTATTTCTTTACTATACTAATTCTTAGTTCTTAGATGAAAATAAAAGATATGCATGCTTTAATTGGAAGAATATAAAACAAAAAAAATCCACTTGATTCATTGTATCCATCGAGCCAGGCCAAAGTCCATATATATGTACCATGACGTCGTACCGCGCCACCCACGTCTCCAAGAAAACCACCGCCATGGCCGTCGGAGCAGAAGTCGGCAGCCATGGTTGTGATCCCCCGAAGACCATGGCGAACGCCGTCAAGAGCAAGCGGAGGTACGGCGACAATGCGGCCTTCGTCTCTCCGCCGTGCGCCGTCGGGCCGTGCCCGTACTCCGCACCCTTCTCCTACGCCGCGCCTGGCGTGGCGGCGACGACGACGACGGCGAGGGACAATGTCGTCGCCTTCGCCAGCGGCGGCGGCGGCGTCGCGGCGACGACTCCGGCTCCAGCCAAGAAACGCGCTCGAGCGCAAGGCCAGTTTCTTGGCGCGGATCACGTCGTCGTCGACCTCGACCCCGTCGTGAACCAAGCCAACCACCAACACCAGCAACAACAACAACAACACGGCCTCCGGCGGAGGACGGCGGAGGCCGCGGAGCTCGAGCGGTGGCGGCGGCACGCGATGGCGTCGCTGGTGGACGCCGCGAAGCGCGCCGCGGTGATGAAGGACATGGAGATCGAGCGCGCGTGGGGCCTAAACCGCGCGCTGGTGGCGAGGCTGCGCGGCGTGCAGGCGCAGGCGCTGGCGTGGCGTGACGCCGCGCTGTCGAACCGGGCCGAGGCGACCGCGCTGCGCGCCGAACTGGAGCGCGCTCTCCAGCCTCCACCGCCGCCGCCGCCGCCCGCCGAGCCGGGAGACGCCGAGTCGTGCTGCTACGGGGACAACGGCGACCTCCTAGGCGGCGGCGAGGATGAGGTGGGCAGCGACCGCCTGATCCACCAGGCCGGCGTGCCGGTGCTGCGGTGAGAGCGCGCCGGCACGGCGGCGGCACTGCCGGCGATTGAACATTTGCCGTCGTAGATCGACGTAACTCAACGGAGCACACATGTTTTGCCTGCCGTCGTAGTTGGGTGTAACTCAAAAACTGGATTGAGCACATGTTTGAAGCTGACCTTATCTCTGGTGCCGATCGAATTTGATTATTATTTATTCTTTAATTTTTTAATATCTTTTAATTTCTGAATTTTGGACCACCCGATTCTCTAGTTTACGCATAGCAAACAACTGCGCAAGAACTTCCCTAGTCGAAAGCATGCAGGATGTTCACATTCCATACCACATTTTAAAAGTTTGCAATTTCGCCAATGCCATCAAACTATGTATAACTAGTTTAGTTGAACTATCCAATGACAGATGACATGTTTAGTTTAAGTTAGACCGAGTGACCGACGAAGCGTAGCAAGCTGTGAATCACATCCACCTACCAAATGTGAATCACACCGATCAGCTAGGACGTAAAACATCCAAATTAACAAACCTGCACAGTGGCATATCCGTCCTCCGTCGAGAAGTCGTAAAACATCAAAACATGCATATATAATCATCGATCAACAGACAAATTTTATCAATCTGGTGACTGGTGTACGTACAACCTCAAAAAAAAAAAAATCTGATGTACGTACTAGCTAACTGAACAAACAGCTAGCAACATAGATAACGAAGGTACTCTACTAGCTAACTAAGCAAACAGCTGCGAGACGACGAGGAGGAGAAGATGGCGGTCACATTGAGACCAAGATCATTCATATTCTCATATCCTCGTCATCCGCGTCACCCTGGTCAATTTCTTTTATCTTTTTTTTATGGGCGGATTGTTACAGGAATTTGATCAAGTTAGCAGAGAAGAGCATGATCAGCATATATAGCGTAGTTCGCTCCTTTCACGTGGTAGATGTTAATGCTCCTCTCTATAGTTATGACGAAAACCGAAATGCTTATAGCATAAAGGGAGAGTAGAAAAAAAAGTAGTGAAAACGATAAAATGTTAATGGCACTATAGTCCATATAAATCTCATTTAATCGTCCAATAGCATGGCGAACAAATCAAATTTCGTCAAATTTAAGTTACTCGAAGCGAAGCAAAGCTGTGGCCTGTGAATCACATCAACCGTGAGCTAGAAATGCACTGAATGATAACATGGCATTCTGTGCGCCGAGAAGTGAAACATCAGAACAGCCATGGTCATCTGAGTAGCTAATCGATTAACAGACAAACTAAGCAGCTGGAGTACTAATAACCAAACAGTGCAACAAAGACGGTAGCAAAGGTAAGGAATGGCGTTGTTGCCTCTGAGAGCTGGAACCGAGAAGACGAGAAGCTGCCAGAGGCAGCAATGGCGGTCACGTTGAGCCCTCCTCTGTTACCATCAGCCAAGATCAGCACATCGTGCCGGACGCTCAGCACGGTTCCCTCTAGCGCGTTGTTGGAGACGTCGAGCACGCGGAGAGACGGCATCTGCAGGATGGACGCCGGGACCGTCCCGGTGAGGTTGTTGCCCGCGAGGATGATCGCCTCCAGATACAGCAGCGAGGCGAAGGCCGGGTCGATGGTCCCGTTGAGGCCGAGGCGTGACAGGTTCACCCCGGTCACCTTGTTCCGCCCGCCGCCGCCGCCATCGCCATCGCCGCAGTGTATACCGAGCCAACCGTTGCACGGATCGTCTCGCCTCCAGCTAACGTCGAGAATCTCCGGGTAGTGGAACGCGGCGGCTACCGACAGGAGAGAGCTGGTCTCCTGATCGCAAGGGCCGTGCACGTCCAGGCGGCAGAAGCTCCCCTTGACAGCTGCCTCGGCGAAGTCCGTTTTCACCGAGTCAGGGAGCTCCGGCACTGGCCCCTGCAACAGGTTGTCGGAGACAGACACCCACGAAAGGCGCCAGACCCGGGCCAATGACGGAGGCACGACGCCGGTGAGCCGGTTGTGAGCGACGGAGAAGACGCTCAGCAAGTAGAGGCCGCTCAGGTCGGCGGGGAAAGGGCCGGAGAAGTGGTTGTGGTCGAGGCGGAGGTCGGTGATGGACGACGCGAGGTTGTTGATGAAGTTGATCGATCCAGAGAGCCCGTTGCTGCTCAGGTCAAGCTTGGCGATGCTCTGGCTCACCAACTTCTCCGGCACAACACCGGTGAGACGGTTCCTGGCGAGCGACACCTCAGCCAAGGCAGGGAACGCGCCGAGGTTGCCGAGAAAAACCTGCAACGTGCCGTTGATGTTGGCATTGCTGGCATTGAACACCCTTAGCTCCGTGAGAGAGAGGAGATCCGACCACAGACCCCACTCCTCGAGTCTTGGGTTGTCGCTGATGGAGAAGTAGTGCAACTCAGGCATGCCGCGGAAGAAGGAATGCGGCAAACCGCTGAAGGCGTTGCCGTCGAGGCGCAGAGTTAGCAGCCGGTCGAGGAAGAGCGTGGGTACCGGGCCGGTGAGGTTGTTGTCGCCGAGGTCGAGCATCCGGAGGTGGGAGAGGGAGCCGGCCTGCCGGTCAAGCTCCGGCAGAGTGCCGCCGCCACGGAGTAGGCCTCGCACGTCGATCTGAATGATCCTGTTGCCGTCGAAGGGGGCGCACGTGACACCGACCCAGCTGCCGTTGCATGGATCGGAGTCCGCCTTCCAGCCGAGCAGGCGCTCCGCGCCCGTCGCCGCCGGGAGACGGTGCATGTACTCTTCGTCTGCCGTGCTCGTCTCGGCAACGGGGAGTCGGGTGGCAGATTGGAGCAAGACAAGGATAACGAGCAACGGAGGCACGGCCAGCTTGGCCATTGTTGGCTTTGCTGTTTATTCTATCGCGAGCATTGAGCAAGAAGCAGAGGAGGAGGAGGCAGGCAGGCAGGGTAGGCAATACAAGCAGCTGGCGAGGCACGACGAGCTGGCTTGCTCAGGCTCGATGAACCACAGTGGGGCTCATCCACAAATGGTAGAGGTCACAGGCAATGAGTACACCACTGTAGAGCTCCCACATTTGTGGTCAAATGGGCATAATTAGTTTCTATATTTGAGGGCATAAACTTGTTGTCCCTGACATGTAAAGTGATAGAGAAACCAAGTTCATGGTCCCAGCCTTTGACCTTGCCCTGGAGTGGCATATATATTGCTTGCTCACATTTTCTCCAACAGCATATGCAATGCTGGCATATAAGTATGTGACCAGAGTACCAGACAGCAGAGCTTTGCCTACGGGCTGCAACTCCAATCCTCTCAAAGTCGTTCTCAGCTGAAGCAAGCCATGTTTGCACTACATATACACGAGGCATATACAAATCGGGTGCCCGATTCTTTTTTCAAAAATTAGACACTATTTTACCAAGTAGATCGAATATGTTTCACTAAATACTCCCTCCATACTGGTAAAAAATGACGTTTAGGACAACATTTAGCATACCAAGGAGTGATTAATTAGGGATATTTTTCCCTGTCTGCCCCTATTAAATAGGGTTGCGCGTAGCATTCCACGTGAGAAACTTACTTAAGTGGCTAGTGCACCAAGGCTAGAGTCCTTGGGACCCAGGTTCGAATCCTGGCGGGGGCAAGCTGGTCGCTTGGTTTTGCATGGCACTGTTTTGACGCTGAAATTTTTTGTAAGTACATAAAAAATGTTTCAGTCTTTTAAAAAGCTGAAACACAACCAAATTACCTCATGAAACATTTTGCTACAACGTATGAAATAACGTTTCCAAAAAATCGAGCGCTGCTTCACTCTATATAAAAACAAATGTTTCAGCAAATGTGAAAAAATATTTCAATTCACTGCAACATTTGATCCATACATAGTGAAACATTATGAGTACACTAGGTGAAACATTTTTGGTGGAAAAAAATAAAATGGATTCCCTTAATAGAGGGTTTCCATAATATGTGAGTGATTTGTTGCAAAAGAATATTTCAATTAACTGCAACATTTGATCCACACATAGTGAAACATCATGAGTACACTAGGTGAAACATTTTGGTGGAACAAAAAATAAAACGGATTCCCTTAATAGAGGGTTTTCATAATATGTGGGTGATTTATTGCAACGGCGTGCGTGGCATGGACACGTGGCGGGAGCGGCACAGGACATGTGGCGGGGGTGGCGCGCGCGCGTGGGAGACGCAGCGCCTTGGCGCCTGATTTTAACTCTCCCCGTCAGGCGCCCGATTTGAGGCAATTTCGTCATATACATGTACAAAGTTTGTACATATGCTTATGAGAAATTCTACCATTCAACATTTGGTACCTTGAGGTACAACATTTTATACACAAAATTTTGGTACTTCGAGGTATCACATTTTATACTAAAAAGTATCCTGAGATACCAAAAATGTGTGGTACCTGGAGGTATCAAATGTTGTATGGTAAAATTATTCTATGCGTATACCTGTACATATACATATATGAAAAAAAAATCTAACAGCTCATGAAAAAAAATGCAAATGAGCCTAGTCCAATACAATATGAAAACTTTGTAGTACTATATAAAAGTTTTCTACTAGTGTATAGAAACTTACTACTATAAATTTCGTACACAAGAAATCAACTATCTCGAATTGGGCCAGAAATTAAAAAAAGCCCAAAAAATGAAAAACATGTACATGTGCAAAAAAAAAGGAGGAAAAACATAAAATGAGCGAACTAGTCATCACATGGCAGGATGCGTGCGTGACTAGCTGCTAATTAGCGTTTGCGAAGCATAGAAGGAAGCAACTTGAATTCAGCATGTATATCTTTCTTTTTTTACATGGATAAAAGGATCGTGCGTTGCAACAGAAAATAAAATGATGCGGGTTTAATGTTCATGATATTAAAGAGAGATTATTCATATGGAACAATGTTCATGATATTAAAGAGATCATTCATATGGAACTAGGAAGATATCATACACAACGCATGCATATTAGCTTTCGATCAAAATAAGGTTTGTTCCAAATTAAAATAAGGTTACCTATTTTTTAAAACTATAAGTGGGTTCGCAAGCGGGCATATTTGCACCCTTATAATCAACCCTAAAACACTAAGATATGCCATGTAGTACCCTTTTGGCCTTTCTCCACATGCACCTAACAAGCTCATGTACTAAACAAACATTTTACAAGTTCGTACACAAAAATTACACCAACCGAACAAATTTGTGTAGTGTCGATGCAATTTACTTATAGATTTATTTCTTGTCCACCAGCTCGACTTTTAGCTATGATTTTGTAGAAAGAAAATTGTTCAACTGAAAAACATTTTGCAAAACAACTTTAGGGGTATGCATGAATGGTATTGTAAAGTTTGAGAGGCTTGATATTCGGTTTTAAAGTTTAGAGTGTTGGATGGACACTACTAAAAAAACTATTTTTCAGGTCCCTCACCTTTAATTTCACAGGCGGATAAAAGTGTGCAACACAGGGAGGTTTACTAGGTAGGAAGGTTAAGTAGCAGCCCATACATGTAAATAGAATACCAGGCCGTTGATGACCGCTGCAAATGTCAATTTTCATAGGCGGCTTACTTAAGAGGCCGTATGTATTAACAAAGATGTGCGCCTTGTGATATGGTGGGAAAGGAATGTGGATTTACACGGGCAGCGGTCTACTACGCGCCACCGTTAGACAAACGTTTTGTGTATGCAGTACTTTCTTCGATTCATATTATAAGACTTTCTATAGATATTAATGAATCTATACATATATATATATATATATATATATATATATATATATATATATATATATATATATATATATATATATGTTTTTAGATTCATTAACATATATATAAATGTGGGTAATGTTAGAAAGTCTTATAACATGAAACGGAGGGAGTACTAGCTAGGACTTTGGGGTGTGTGAGTGTGGTGAGTAATTTGGATTTTTCCAAATCATAATTACTCGTTTCTTATATTTCCAGGAGCTTGGTAGCATATTCTAAATATGCGTTCATATTTTTGTTAATATTTTAGAACAACTTCAATCTGCATTGATCTACTCAGTGTATAAATATCACCGCTCTTTTATCCCAGTAATAATGTGCAAGGTGTAATTCCTACATGATTTTTGCAAATGAAGCAATGTTTTGCACCTCATTTTTGTAAAACAGGAGCTGTGACGCGTACATACCACCTAATTATAATCAATAACTAGTTCATATTGCGCGCATTGCCGTGGGATTTTATAGATTGAATTAGACAGCTAACACATATGATGTGTGTTACAAATATGGGTTAATGGATCCATGCCACTGCAATTTTGCTAAATTAAAAAAATACCACTACTATTCGCGATATCGACTGAGAGCCACTAAAATTTTAGGAAATTGGATCCATGCCACTCCATCGCGTTTTCCATCTACTCACCGTTGACACCGTCTCTCCGCATCGCCCACTGGCCGTCCCAGGGGCTCGTGCACGCCGGCTGCGACGCGGTCTGATCGGCCGCCGCCACCGACCATCTGCTGCTCCACCACCACGAGCTCGACGGCGGGGAGCTCAGCGGTGGCGAAGGAGCTCGACGGCGGCGAGGGAGCTCGGTGGCGGCGAGCTTGGCGGCGGCGAGGGAGGGAGCTCGGCGGCAGGGAGCTTGGTGGCGGCGAGCCTCGCCTTCGCGTCCCAGATGATGCGCACCACGTCGACGATGTCAGCCCCGGCCACCTCGCCGCTGCTCCCTGTTGCCAGCACCGGGTAGAAGCAGTTACCCCGTCGCCGCCGCTCCTGCTCGGCGTCGCCTGCGGCGATGAGGGCGCAAGTGCGGGCCTGCCATGTCTTGGCGACGCAGACGTCGAAGGTGGAGCAGCAGTGGCCGGTGGACTTGACCTCGGTGATGTGGTCTGGGCTGAGATCGACGGTGAAGTAGCGGAGGTCGAGCAGCTCAAACTGCGGTGGCGGCGGCAGCAGCTCGGCGGCAGGGGGCTCGGCAGCGGCAAGGGAGCTCGGTGGCAGCAAGGGAGCTCGGCGGAAATAATTTTATCTTTGATCAGCAACTTCCCTCTTTGTCCTCCTGGAGAAAACTCTTGAAGGGTGATCTCCTCCTTTTGTTGCATAGAATTAGTGCGAGAGATCACAATGTAATCTTAAATTGGATTAGTCTTTTGTAATTTCCTTATTTTCATTATTAATAAAATTATGTTAACAGTGGGGGCCTTCCATGCTGTGTTCCTTTAGAAAAAAAGGAAGCTCGGCGGTAGCGAGGGAGCTTGGCGGCGGCAAAAGAGCTCGGTGGTGGGGATGAATGGATTGACGATGGAATGGAGGAGGATGAGGACGGCGTAAGAGGAGGACGGAAAAAGTGACGGGAGTGGCATGGTTCTAATTTTAGAAATTTTCAGTGGCATGTAGCCGATATGATGAATAGTAGTGGCATTTTTTTAATTTGGCAAAGTTTTAGTGACATGGATCCAATTAACCCTAGAAATATTGGTTTTATTTTAGTGTAGTATAAATTAGCATATATTTATATGACAAAAAACTGAAGGTAGAAAAATGATTTTTGGTTCAACTTTTAAGATTAGTAGAAGTAATTAAGGGATAATAATCACATAGTTTCTAACAAATAAACCGACAAATCAATAGAGCACATAATATATGCAAAGGGAGAACTAATGAATCAAGTACTATTCAATTCAAAGTTCCTCTATTTGGAAAAAACACAAATCCAAATCAAACTGAATGAAGAACAAGAAATATAGAATTGGATGGATATATGTTGAGACATTGTGAAAATAATGTGAGGATGATTTTATATGCTTACATGTTAAGCTATTGATTGTAATAAATTGTAGATTTACATATTTGTATGTAATAATTGCTAGTGAATAATAATGTGATATGTTTGCATGTCAAGCTTTAGGATATAGTGGGTTATATCAGTATAGAGGATATAGATAAGAAGAACGAATTGTTTCATTAAATCTCATTCTTACTAGAAGAAATTATCATTTTTGAAACGGCATATGAGAGAAAATCATCTATTCCCAACCAGAGTAAAGAGTCACACATGCAAGTACCATAAAACATAGAATTAACGAGGGCATTCGGTGCCAATTCTCGGATTTCCATCAAAGTTGGCTGCAATCCTGCCGGCGTCGGCGAACACGGGCACACACCGCACAGGTCGTTGTAAGAGGCATCGAAAACGCGCAGGTTGACAAGCCTGGTGGCGTCGGGCACTGGCCCGGTGAAGGCGTTGTGATCCAGGCGAGCCTCCACTAGGCTTTCCATGTCGGGGATGAACAGGTCGATGCGGCTGCTGAGGCTACTCTCGCCTCCACCGTCGAAGTCTCGCTGGCCACCGATGTCGAGGTACTTGATGCTGCTCTTCCTGCCGAAGCCGTCGCGTATGGGCCCCGTGAGCCGGTTCCTCGCGCCAGCGACAGCCTCTCGAGCCGCGGGAACAAGGTGGCGTTGCCGAAGTAGTCCGGGAAGGTGCCGTAGATGCTGGCGTTGTTGGCCGTGAAGCTCCGGAGGTTGGAGCAGGTGACCACGTCGTTCGGGATGTCCTTGATCAGCATGGCGTTGTCGTCGAAGGCGAAGGTCTGGAGGGCGGGGAAGCCGGCGAAGAAGCCGTCGGGGATGGAGTAGAAGGAGTTGGAGCGGAGGTCGAGGGAGAGGAGGCGAGGGAGCGGCGCCGGGAGCACGGGGAGGTCGTCGTCGAGCTCGTTGAAGCTGAGGTCGAGGTCGGAGAGGAAGGCGAGCTTGCTGAGGTCGGTGCCGTTGAGACTGGCGACGAGGCCGCCGCGGCTGGCGTTGATGGCGGTGACGCGGCCCATGCATGGAGTTGCAGCTCACGCCAGCCCAGGTGCCGCCGCATGGGTCGGCGGATTTCGCGCCCCAGCCCAACGCCTCGTCCGCGCGTGTCGACCTGGCGATCGCCTGCATGGCCGCCGCGTCCGAGGGATCGGTCGGCAACGGGCGAGCGGCAAAGGCGCCGCCGCCTCCGGTGAGCATGACGATCGCGATGAGCACCGCAGCGATTGACATATTGCAATATCGTTCGATCTTCATAGTTCACGTTTGGTTTGATCGATGGATGAAACGGGATTCGGCACCCCGGTACTTGATTTGCTTATGTAGTACTACTTCACCCGGCCCGTGCATGCCTGCATGGTGATATGGTATATCCTTTTTGACACAGTAATTAAGTAGGTAGTACTATATAATATCGTGTCACCAGCGTGATTTACTGAAACATACCAAATTAAGATACTTCATGCCATCAAATTATATGAAGTAGGAGTATATACCTATTCCGAATATGTCAAATCTCAATCCCAATACGGTGTGTCTCTAGATTTTCTTCTTTAATTAGTTTGTGTTATCGTCGTTCAAAAAAAATTATTTGGTGTTTTCAACTTTTACCATATACCCTATAGTTAAACAAATGGTTTTACTCATCCATTATATCACATATCCAACGGTCGAAACTCATTTGAAAATTTTGGATCCAACGTCCCATATCAGCGCGCGTCCCACACCTCCCTCTCTGCCGCAATCACCGCGCCTCCTCCGCATCCGCGCGACCGCGCGCCTCTCTCGAATCGGGAGGTGCTCAAGAGAGGCGCGCTCCCCCCGGCAAATCACCGCCCCCTCCACCCGGATCCCTCGCCTCCGCGTCGCCGGTCTGCACTCGCGCCGCCCCCGGTCAGCCCGCGTCGCCGGTCCCCATCATCGGCGGCGCCGCCCCCGATCCCCCTCGATCTGCACTGCGCCCGACGAGTTTAACCCTTGCACGGCTCTGCTGGAGTGTGAGTGCAAGAACGGCGCCGCCGCCGAGAACACGCTGCTCCGGGCGGGCTACGGCGGGTGGCTGCTCTACTCGGCGGCGTCGGCGGGGGACATGGCGTTCGTACAGGAGCTCATGGACAGGGACCCCTTGCTGGTGTTTGGCGAGGGCGAGTACGGCGTGACGGACATGTTCTACGCCGCCGCGAGGGGTGGGAACGCCGAGGTGTTCAAGCTGCTGCTGGACCACGCCATGTCGCCGAGGTGCTCGACGAATTGTCCCAACAGGGAAGGCGCAGCAGCGGTGGTGGCTGCTCCTCGGTGTTCTGGCTGGAAATGATGAGTAGGGCAGTCCACGCCGCCGCGAGGGGCGGCAACGTGGAGATGCTGAGGGAGCTCATCGAGCGTCGCTCCGACGTGTCGGAGTATCTCGACTTCCGTGGATCCACCGTGCTGCATGCTGTTGCAGGTAGAGGGCAGCTAGAGGCGAGGCATCTACTTCTTGGCCATTGCTTACTTCTGTAAAATGCTTGATACAGTAAAATTTTTCTTTGTGCCAATATGGATGACAAAGGTAGATCCTCATTTCATCAGAATGTTTGGGTGAAATGTTTCCATACCCAATATCTTTTGACGTTATGAAACCCATTTTGCCTTTAGATGCGCTGCAGGTTATTATCTGGTAATCGATTTCAACATAAATATTAAAGTTGCTCTTGATCATGAGAAAATAGATATATTAAGGATCAACATAAATATTAAAGTTGCTCTTGATCATGAGAAAATAGATATATTAAGGAACAAATTATTTTCATTCGTCCTTTCTGAACAAATGGTTTGAGCTTGGAAGGATATTGTTCAGCTAGAATGCTGCGTGTTACCAAAGTAGACATTGAGATATGTAGATAGTTGTAATTAAAGAACATTTTTTTTATCTTATATAATAAGCATACCACGCCCAGATGATAAAGGCTCATTTAGTTAATATCGTCATGCTCAACTCTCCAGTGTATTATGAAGCCAAAGAATAAATATAAAGACCATACTGATTTGGCCTCTTTCACATGGACTTCAAGTTGTGCAATTCATGACCGGATTTTCTTTGTAATTTTAGTTAGAAGCAACCCAGCGCTTCCGACTGAGATGGTTGTGCGACGACTGGTAGCGCCCAGCGGTTGAGTTCCTGCTGGACAACTGTGGGCGAAGCGGCAAAATGGCTCACGAAGGCCAGCGGCGGCTGGAGATTGACGATGAAGAAGCGGTCAGTGGAATTTCTCCTCCATAGCCACTTAGCCTCTCCTTTCAAGATAACTCTGTATGCTTGATGCCCCTCTAATAATAGCTTAGGATTTTTTGAGGCATCGATAGCTGCAATCAGTGCTCATGTCATCATTCAATGACCTGTAACAATTTCGAAAAACTATGTTGGGCACCAGATGAACCCAGGCAGATGTTCTTTGGATCGGTTTTTGTACACCACAAGGTTCTATCTGCAGGAAATTTAACAAAAAAATAAACTGGCCAACTATATTCGCTATGCAATGGAGTTTATGGTGAAAGCTCAGTTGCTTTTTGTTCCATGTATTATCCTTGAATTGTAGTCTGAAACCAACTTCTTAATATAATGGGCAGAGCTCCAACCTTCAGAAAAAGAGAAAAAGTCACCTTCTCCTAATTTACCTACTGTGTTGTTTTTTCCATTCACATGCGTTTGCAGCTTGGCAACTAGAGGAGGAGCTGACTTCTAGATTGATCTGCTCTCTTATTTTCCAGCAATGAGCATCTGTTACAGGCAATGAGCTTGTACAGCAAAAAAGGCTCAAATATGAAACCATCTGTTACAGCTTATATGTGTTTGCATTGAATTAGCAAGTACAACAAAGAAGGCTCAAAATTCCCTTTTGTTATTGTTAATACTTCATGAGCTTATGAAACTATTTTAGTAAAATTCAATTCTCTCAATTCCTTGGCGATTGCACCAAAAACGCAAGTTCCATTTGGATTTCCTTTTTATCAATGATAACCGTAGCACTGTCGTCATAGCGTATTATTATACTGTCTTCGCATTTGAACTCAGTAGTTCCTCATTAAAAATTAGACTCTATAAATATGGTAATATGGAGAATACAAAGTGGTTTGAAGCACGCACAGAACCGGAAGCGCCCCTTGTTTTAAAGAGATGATGAGTTATTCATATTTAATTTGATGGTCAGAAGACAATCTGTAGTCGTGCCACCATCCCTCCTGCCGATCTCCAGCAACGTGCGGCTGCCTAAAGCGCCACTGCCGCCGTCTCTCCAAATTGCACTAATGTTGTCTCTTTGTCGTCGAAAGGTCCTGTGTTCACGCTTCCTAAACTATTAGATGGGGCATTTTTTTACTATATATATATGTATATATATATGTATATATATATATATGTATGTATATATATATATATGTATATATATATATATATATATATATATGTATATATATATATATATATATATATATAATCCATTTTAAAGTCTTTTTTAGCTAATTGTGTTAATTCATCGTTCCATTTTACATGTGAAGGGAGGGATTTCTTTCTAGAGAACACAGCTCCACAGCCTGATTATACCGGGGAAAAAATTGAAGTCGGACAGATACAGAGGTAAATATTAACAGGGAGGGGAAAAATGTAGAAAGGTGAGCCGATACGGTGAACATATCATATAATTTTTTTTCCTAACATGAAATTTTAAAAGTTATTAAAAACAATGGAATTGCACCGTAGCGTTTAGCACGGGCATATTACTAGTTTCCATTGATGGAAATATTAGAATTCTCTAAAATTCACAAATATACAACGTTAACCATAGAAAGATAATGTAAGCCATTGGCATATTACATTTAATATATTCCCTCTGTCCTCTAATATAAGGAATTTTGATATTTTGCATGCACTGTTTGATCATTCGTCTTATTAAAAAAAATTGGAATTATTATTTATTTTATTTGTGATTTACTTTATTACACAAAGTACTTTAAGCACAACTTTTCGTTTTTTTATATTTGCACAATTTTTTTTGAATAAGACGAATGGTCAAACAGTGTAAGCAAAATGTCAAAATCCTTTATATTAGAGGACGGAGGGAGTAACAAAGATACGGTTAGGTCCGCGTCACCCACCACACAACGCCGCTTCGCCATCGCCAGTGACACCACCTCTAGCGGCGGGCATCCCGCTACCTCCCTATTCCTCCCACCACTTTATGTCCCTCTTTCCTTTCCTTCCCTCTCGCCCCTTCAGATCTAGATCTAAATAAACTCTAAAGCTTCATTATCACCTTCGCCGCCGCCCCTAAGGGTGGCCATAGCCACCACCCATGTAGCTCCTCCCCTCTCCTCCCTACGCTCAGCCATGGCTAGAATGAGCCGCCAGTGAAAAAGCCGAACCGGGGACTGACCTGGTGAGCTCGTCGGTTACCGGTCAGACAGCCGGTTCATGGCTAATTATTTTTTAAGTTATAATTTACTTTAAATTGCTAAATAGAATAGGTATTCTATTCTCACCAACAAATATCTCTTGCACAGTTGGTTAGGTCAGAAAGTACAATGCATGCAGCGCCACAGGCATGAGGTCTGGGGTTTGACTCCCCTTCTGCTCAACCTAAAATTTATATTTTTCCATGCAGGGTCCAACCGCTCCGGTTTTAAGCCGGTTCAACAGAAAACCGGCCGGTTCAGCAGATTTATACTGGTTTATATACATTGACAGTCTTTTCTGCAAACAGAACCGTGGCACTGGTTCCGGTTTTTTCTGGTTGAACCGCCGGGCCGGTCCGGTTTTTTTACTATGCCTCAAATGCTCAGGATGACGGTGGCAACGACATATGATGGACAACAGCACTACCAACCCCTCCTGAGAGTGCCTATGGAAGAGGATTACCATCTGGTTGGCAAGATAACCAGAAGGTCTGGAAATCGCTATGGAAGATTGTGGCTCCGGGGAAAATGAAGATCAACCTTTGGCGAGCGGTACATGACTGCCTCCCTACCGGTTTCCAACTAAGAAAGCGCCATATCAAAGCTCTTGATGGATGCTTTTTCTGTGGTAGGGATGATCAAGTGGAGCATATCTTTATCCAATGCCACTTTGCTGTTGCTGTCTGGCAGGATGTTAAAGAGAAGTATGGAATGAAACTCTGCAGGAGAGAGCTGGGGAATATGAGGCAAATTTTTTTGAACGACTCGCACGAGACGGTGCGAAGTTCTATTGATAGAGCAGGAAAGAATTACAAGATTATAACCCTGGAGGGTCATAACCAGGAAAAAAGAAAAAATATACCCCCCCACACACCGACAGCACCAACACACACGACCAGGAGGAGGCTAGCACCGGACCGGCCGCCGCTAAGCGTGACCGGCCGCCGCTAAACCAACAAAGGAACACAGACGAGATCGCCCTACAGCTAGGGGGTGCCAAAACGACGTCTTCAAGAAGAAAAGCGACGAAAAAACCGTCGCCGCCGTCCGTCCGGGCTCAAAGGAGCCAGGACTGGGCTTTCGCCCGGCAACCGCCCTTGAGAGGTGAGACAGCATGACAATGCCCTCAGGAGGAAGAATTAACCATCGTTGTCGGCCCGGCAAGGCCGGACTGGGTTTTCACCTACCGCACACCACCTGCAAATCCACGGCTGACGCACCGATGCTCCACCACCACACAACCTCTACCGACATGTGGGACCCCCGCACCGGCGCCCCCCGCCGGCCAGCCTTCGAGCGCCGAAGATCGTGCCACGCCCACCGGCATCTCCTCCTCGCACCAGGGTCACCTCCTCCTCTGTCGGCCGTGCCTCTCGCACCGAACCGGCCTCCTCCACCGGACGCGCCTCTCGCACCGATCCGGCCTCCCTCCATTGGCCGCGCCTCTCGCGCCAAGCCGGCCTCCATCTCCGCCGCCCGCGCCTCTCGCGCCGAGCCGGCCTCTGCTGCCATCGGCTGTACCTCTCTGCACCAAGCCGGTCTCCGACCCCTCCTCCGTACTCTCCCGCACCGGCCAGATGCAGCCGTCTGCTACGTCCTCGGCTAGCCGACCGAGGCCACCTCCCACCACCACCACGGCCGCTGCTGCCAACGGCCACCTCGCCGCCAGCCAGCCGCAGCCCCATCGCCGTCGTCCAGCCGCTACTGCAACCGTCGCCACGAGTTCCGCGTCGCTGCCTGCGCCGCGAGAGCCCCAATGCCACAGCCGCCAATGCCGTCGACCAGCCACCGTGCTGTCGCCGCCGACAAGCCGCTGCTGCCACCATCGCTATGAAATCTGCGCCGTTGCCACCGTCGCCGTCGCCCCGTGCTCCCGCGCTGTTGTCGCCGACGACGTCGCCGCGAGCTCCGCAGTGCCGCCACCACCGCGAGTTTGCTCCGCCACTGCCGTGAGCTTGCCCCGCGTCGCCATCCTCGCCGGCCTCCGGGCAAACAGCCTCAACCGCCGCTGGTGATGCTCACACGCGCCCGACCGCGTCGCCCGCGACCTCAGCTGCACCGCCCGCACAACCGTCGCCGCCACCGCCTCTTCCCCGCCGCCAGCATGCCTGCTTCCCCGCCGCCCAGTGTCAGCCCCGCTAGATCCGGCCAAAACAGAGCGGATTTGGGCGGGGGTTTCTGCCGCCGCCGGCCCTGTACGTCGCCACCACGCACCGCCAGTCGCCGCCGCCACCACTCCGCCCCACCACCAAGCGCCGCCCTGCCGGATCCGGCCAGGCGGGCGCGGATCCGGACGGTTTGCCACCGTCGCCGCCCGGCCAGCTCCCCGGGCCGCCGAGCGCGCGCTGAGGCGAAGCCCCGCCGCCGCCGTCCCCGCGGCCGCGCGGCTTTGCCGGCGCCCACTCAGGCGGCGGCGAGGTAGAGAAGGAGGGGGAGAGGAGGAAGAAGACGGCGGCGGCGGCGCCTCTCGTGTCGCCCGTGGGGAGGGCGACGCGAGAGCCCTTCTTCAAGTCCTTCAGTGGTCGTGGTGCAAAATGAATATGAGGCAATGGATCTTTGATTTTTTGAACAGGGGTACAGATATCCAAAATACAGCCCTCGCTGTTACTATTTGGCACATTGGGAGGCGAGGAACAATGCAAAGAATAACAATGAATCCATTCACCCAAAGCGTGTTGCCCAGAAATTTTTTGCTTATGTCGACATGATTGTTCAACATTGCTACAAAGCACAGGCTGCTCCCAGGGGTGATTCCTCTCCTTCAATTCCACGATGGACTCCCCCACCAGTAGGTACTGTGATGATCAATTGTGACGCTGCTCTGTTTCAATCTTCTTGTCAAATGGGCATTGGGTTCCTCATACGCGACCATGATGGAAGATGTCTACTGGCTCTCAATGAACGAGTCCAGAATGTAACTCAGCCGGAGTTGGCTGAAGCTGTGGCGATCCGGCGCGCCCTGTCACTTGCAAAAGAGGAAGGTTACCAGAAGGTAATCATTAGCTCCGACTGCCTATCGGCCATCCAACGTATCATCTCTCCATTACTGGATCGATCAAGAATTGGCTGCTTGATTAGCGACATTAAGAGGATTGGGGCTGAGTTCTCTGAGTGTACTTTTATGCATGTTAATCGTTTGTGTAATCTTGCAGCACATACACTAGCTCGTCTGTCTGAGCCTGCTGGTAGTAATGTCTATCGTTCTGTCACTCCGGATTGTATCCGTGAGCTTCTCTGTAATGATGCTACTTAATCTATGAAATGACATCGTTACCTCAAAAAAAAAAAAACCCTCCTGAGAAGGTGGCAAAGGCGATGAGCTGGTGGAGTCTGAGTATTCGCCCCATGGTCAGACCTGCTTGGTGGATCCATGTGCTGTTACCTCCTCACAGCATCGGTTGCTTTTGGCCGTGACCCGATCCGGCACCTATGCGCCTTGCAACGCCTCTCCGAGCAGGGGGTGACGAGGAGACAATGGGCATCATCTTTTCGCTTATACGTATACTTATTAGCTAAAATTTAAATTTTTAACTTTAATTTTAGAGTTGATTTTAGAGTTTTTTTTGTCAAAATTTATGTTTTAGCCTTTGCTTTTATATTGTTAACAACACGTATATAAAAGTTTTATTCACATATTACTTTTGGTTTGTAAATATATTGTTTCGCTTATTCCCGATGGCTCCGAATATGTGCATTCCTATCGGTAGTTGCAGCCTGCAGGACGATTGTTCATGGTTGCCGGTGTCCGAGGTTTACTTCGTAGGGGCAGCGGGCTCATGTGTCCTTGTTGGCCTACCCATCTCTGCCTTGTGGGGGAAACATTTTAGTTCCGATGATGGTATCTTAAAAATTACTTCCTCCGTCTTAAAATAAATACACTCTTTAAATTAGAAGAATGCATTTTTTATAAGGGAAATAGATATATTGCCGAACATATGGTGCACATGATTACTAGTTTTATTAATACGTGGTAGCCAGGGATGGTAATTGGAAGTGAATTTTTCCTTTATTTAACCTAAACAAATCTTAACCATCCGTTTTAACTTAAGATCTAAGATCTAGTATCTAACTAAAGTTTATATCAATTTTCACCACCTCTACCAAACAAAAAATTAAGACTAAAAATCATATTCTTATCTTAATCTTGTCATCAATTCGTTTGTCTAAACTTCCAATCCGCTTTCCTCCAGTTGCCTAACAATCGGTCAATCTAGTAGCACAAGACATTCCAAAGCCGTGCGCTTCTTCTTGCTGCGGCGCCGCGGTGGAAGAAGACATAGCGAGGGGCCGAGGGCGGGGGCTTCGTCGCCGGTCAATCCTCCACGTCGCCGCGCGGCTCGCGATCCGAACGCCGCCCGCTCGCAGCCTCACATCCTGATCCTTCCCCCCCCCCCCCCAACCCGACTCTTCTCAAAAATAAAAATATCTTTTCCTCCCGCTCTTCTGCTTGCCCCCCCCCCCCCCCCCGCCCCGCCCCGTGCGCCGCCGCCATGGCAGCCGCGACGACCTCGCTGCTCCTGGAGGCCACCCCGCGCCTCCTCTCGCTGCCGCCGCGGCGGCCTGTGCAGCCCCGTGGTGGCATCTTCCTCCTCAAGCCGCCGCCGCCGCCGCCTTTCCCCTCCCGCCGCGGGGTGGCAGTGGCGGTGGCACCGCCCCTCCGCGCCTCCCACCCGGACACGGCGCGCCGGGTGTCCGTGTCCCCCGCGGCGGTGGAGCCGCCGCCCAAGCCCCGCGCGCTGCTCGACGCGATCAAGAGGTCCCTCCTCGACTCGCTCGCGGCGCTCAAGAAGCCCGCGCTGGCGCTGCTCCTCGCCGGGGCGCTGCTCGCGGCAGCGGGGCCACACCACGGCGCCGCGCTGGCGGCATCGGGCGGCCGCGTCGGCGGGTCGGCGTTCTCGTCGCGGTCGTCGTCGCCGCCGTCGTCCTACGGGTACACCGCGCCGGCGCCGAGGGGCGGGTACTCGGCCGCGCCCTTCTACTCGCCCTCGCCGTTCGTGTCCGTCGGCCCGGCGGTCGGCATCGGGTTCGGGGGATCCAGCTTCTTTTTCGTCCTTATGGGGTTCGCCGCGTTCCTTTACCTCGCCGGGTTCCTCTCCGATTCCTCCGGCGGTAGCGTGCTCACCGAGACGGACAAGACCACCGTTCTCAAGCTGCAGGTTCATCCCGTCCCTCGGTTAACATTTTATTTATCGAAGCAATTTACATTAGCGAGGACCAATTGCTATGATCATTTCTTATGTTAGCAAAGAAGAGATGCAAATGAATTGCTGTTAGATTGGTTAGTTATACAGTATACTTAATCCACTTCTTGATTAGCACGGAGTGACATTGTAATCGAGCATGGCCTGATAGACTGGTCTACCGTGAGGCTTGATTAGAATTGATATTTGAAGCTAGTATTTGGTTGTGAGTTGCTTTCTGAAGTGCTAAATTCTTCTCTTAGGGCTTGTTCGGTTCATACCTTTGCCCACAAAGGGATTAAAGGGGATTTGGAAGGGATTTATTCCACACCTATTGTGGTGTCGAATTATTCCTCTTCAATCCCCTCCAATCCTTGGGATTGGAGGGGATTGAAGAGGAATCAGTTTTTTTTTTTTTTTACTTTCTAACCTATAAGTATGTTCCTAGGTTGGTTTGCTGGGCATGGCCAGATCATTTCAGAAAGAGCTTGATCAGATAGCTGAGAAGGCAGATACTTCTACCCCGGCAGGGCTGAGCTATGTGCTAACTGGTAAAACCAAAGCTATCAGATCATATATGCTGCTTCATTCTACTTCAGAGTAATTTTATGGTGTAGATATTTTGAAATGGCATAGTTCTGTTTCTTTTGGCTCTTATTGCTGTCACTTGATGTCAATATACCGCTTTTATTTTGAGTGCCTTATTTTGAGTGCTATGTTTGAGTAGCAGATGACTGAGTTTATCTACCTTGGTTTGTTCAGAAAGATCATTTTCATATTGGCCGGCAAAGTTTCATCTATAATGGATATCAGGAGGGGGTTTTGGTTTTGGAGAGCAATATGTAAAAATAAAAAGAAAATGGTGGTTTTTTACTAGTTGTGTTTGTTGGCGGTTATACATGCTCCTGAAATAAAATTGTTAGTGATAATGTAGCTATGTAGTCAAAGTGTCCAACCTGCATTACACTGCAATTCATTTTGAATGAAAAATACCAAGATATGATATTATGATATTTTCTTAAGATTTTTTACTATTGCGTTGAAATCATCTGAACTATGGTTCTTTTCTTCTGTTTTGCAGAGACAACATTGGCATTACTTCGGCATCCAGATTGCTGCATCTCAGCTTACTCATCAGTATGCATACTTTGTCCTTGAGTTTTTATTTATCACTTACCCTTCACTCTTCCAATGTATTATTACTGAAATCATCTTATTCTTCTATTCATCCTTCAATAGAATGTAATTAAGTTTTACTATCGCTCCCAGAAAAATGAAAAGAAATGTTTGAAATGTTATATGTGTTCTTTATATAATCTATAGGCATAATGTATAACATGCGCGGCCACTATATCATGTAGTAATCATTTGTTGCCAGGTCATATAGATTTGAATTTTGACAAGCTCCTTACTGTATATATTTTTAATATTTGTTCTAAAGGTTGATGTGAAAAGAAGTATAGATGATGGGGAGAAACGTTTTAATCAACTATCAATTGAGGAAAGAGGCAAATTTGATGAAGAGACACTTGTGAATGTGAACAGCATCAAGAGGCAGAAAGCAGGCAGCCAAAGATCGAGCGGTTTTAGCAACGAGTACATTGTGGTATGTTTTTTTCTTTAGGAAAAGGTGATCAGGTGATCAGATCAAGGCGTTCCCTTTTATGTGATACTTGACATCATGCAATGGCCGGTAACATGGGAACTTCATTAGTGATATAGCCCCCATTACTGATGAGTGATTGATATTTTGTATATTTTCACCTAGTAGAATAAAAATAATGGATGGCATTGGAAGATTCTGTCATGATATAGCCCCTATTAGTGATATTGCCTTACCCATACTGTTCTTTACTTCTTTTGTACTTTAATATCAATATTTTGAACTGCTATGAAGCACAAATTGTTGTTACTCAAGAACTTTCATTTATAATGGAGTAGTGATTTATTGGCTAGCAATCTAGCATTAGTAGCAAATTCTTTTTGAGCTACTACGATGATACCATGTAGGATCCCTTTTATCATTTCAATTTACATTTAAAGAACACTATAATTCCAGTCATATAGCACTATTCTGGTGTTCCTGGGGTTTTCATGTTCTAATTCCAGCATTTGTAGGTTTGATCGATAAAATGTTTCTGATTACCTGTGTTGCTAGCAATCATCATGCAATATCTTATATGCTTTTGCTTCTTATCCGTAGATAACCATATTGGTTGCTGCTGAGGGTGTACATAAGCTACCCAGTATAAATGGCAGCGGTGACTTGAAGACAGCTCTACAGAAGCTTGGTGCCATACCATCAAGAAAAATACTGGTACCCTGCTTGTTCCTTTGATGTTCTTATTCTTCTGTTCATGGCATTCCAATTTCATTGAAATAAAACATAAATATAAGCAGCGATCTGCTGACACTACAAACTTGTTCCACATTGACGTAATGGGCTGAGTTCAATAAAGCTTTTATTATCGAAAAGGAAAAATCTTGTTCCACTTCAGTATGCAATATATTTATCTAGTACATTAACCTTGAAGAACGCTGGTAGACTGAAACTCTGCAAATGGAAGTTGCAGCAAATCTTTATCTCGTTGTAATGAACATTCAATGAGCATTATGATTAAAAAACCGGTTGATTAACTGATTATCTACCTCTGTTGATATGATTACGTTGTAATATTGACGTTTCTTATTTTTATTCTCTTGTTTTTCTCTGCAGGCAGTTGAGGTACTATGGACTCCACAAAATGAGAATGACACATTGTCAGAACGAGAGCTGCTCGAAGATTACCCGCTTTTAAGACCCCTATGAAGGATGCATTTTAGATTCATTTTTGCCGTATTTCAGCTTATTAACTATAGCTCAGGTTGTGTTGTAAAGATAGGTAACGTAAAAAAAATTGGCCTACATCATTCTCGCAACACAATTGTACGGTAGTCTTTCCTGACAGTCTTTGTAAATAGAATGCCGACACATAGTTGAATACCAATTCTGCTCGGTGCATCCGCCTTCATGGATATGGTACTTGAATCTGTCACGCAATGTTGCATTTTTTTTTTTCTGCTGTGGGAAGACAAGTGATCTCGTGATGTTTTGTTTCTAACCCTTGCGATGTTTCAGTTCAGACACATGCGTTGCTCGATCCATATATTTTACGCATCACACAAATCTCAGCAATATTCAGAAAACCGCAGCTCTTGCAACTGTGGGAACAGGAGGAACTAGAAAGATGTCTATAAAATCCAGTTGCACAGCATTCACGAACATGAAACAGTTAAACAGATAAATAACACAAATAAAAGAGGAAGTAAATTTGCAACAAAGTTCTCAGATCCCAGTACTTGTGATTACATAGCAATTGTACTCGGAAACCTAAGGTTCACACCCATATGGCAGATACAACTCAGGCTGCTACAGTTGCAGCTTCTGATGTTGCAGCTTCCGGTGGACTGTCGGTGTATGCACGCCTGGCATACTCCCTAGCACCCTCTTTATCAACAATCTTGATTATGAAGTTTTGAGGAGCAACGACCAACCTGAGCCGAATTTCTTTAATGCACTTGTCAACAAGATCAACAGCTTCCTCGACTGACATGTCTGGACGATATAACTTGTCCATCAGCGAGAGACAGAAGTAGGAGCCATACCCAAAGGCACCCTTTTCGATCTTATGGAATGTTGCGATGTAGTCAATGTAATACAAAGAGGCACCAACATCCGAATCATATCCAGCAAGCAACACGTTGACATAGTACGGATTCTGCAAGGAACGAAACGTGAAACATAGCTTCAGAGTCTCAGGGAAGGAACATATAGGGCAAAGGAAAACAAGAAATAAGTTTATATACCACATTCAAGCATTGTAAATTTTTATCAATACTTCTTTAGACAAAAAGCAAAGCAAGGTATACGAAAAAGAGTTAACTTAAGTATCGATAGCACAAAAATCTGAGAAGTACATATAAACATGCCAACAAATATTTCTTTGTAAAAGTTCCCAATCAAATTAATGCTAAAAACACTGAAAAAATATGTAATTACACTACTTTGGGAAAATTTAATAACAGGCTTCTAGAGAACATTTGTTGATTATAGTTGAAGGTTGAAACATCCCATATAGTGTATGACAGACTCATTTAGCTTGCATCAAGTGGGCACAGCTCCTATGAGTACCCAATGATTTTCCACTTAAAATCTAACATTGATTTATGTCCAGCATCTAATATTTTTCCACAATAATTTAAGTTTATTATAATGTTTAGTTTGCTGCAAGCCCGCAATACACCTCAGCAGAGTTGCTCTCAGGCTCTTTGCAATTCAACTATTAAATTTCATAGGGTCCTAACTTGACTTGTATGAATGAGTATCGATTTGTAGCAATAGATGAAGATTATTATATTGATTCATTTCATGTTGTTCAAGCTTCAAACAAATGGTAACAACAAATTGTACATTCTCTATTTAGTGACGATAGTGGCAAAGTGGCCTCTAGATATCACTACTGAGGAAAAGAAAACATGGTAGCCATTTGATCAAAACGGATGCAGATTTCAACAGCAAGTAACCAAGCACCCTTCCAGGAGTCAAGAGGAGCCACACCACTAGAGGTATAGCCTGATCTTAGCTCAAACAACTAGCAACACGTAACAACAGATAAAAACTGTCCATGTAATTTTATTGTGCAAAACAAAACCAACAAGGTTATTCAGTTAGTAAGCATAACCCACCATATGAGTCTGCAAAAATTTCCCAATCACAACCACAAGACCACTCCATATGCATGATAACACCAAAGTACCAAATGCACAGACATGAACAGTATATCATATAATCTAGATCCGCACAAGCATACCGAATAGAACCATAAAACGCCACAATCGGTAAATAGCTGATCAGACCAACCCCTGGGCGCAATCGACAATAGAACACTGGAAAACGGGGAGAGAAGCCAATCCGGATCGGTACCTTCCGCAGGGCGGTGGCGAGCTCGCCGCGGGTGAAATTGGCGGTGGCGGCGGTGCTGAGCGGGATGTTGTTGCGGAACTGATACAGGTGGAGATTCTTCTGGATGAACTCGGTGAACTGCACCCTGCGAACACACGAAGCACACCAACCGCAATAAGGACCAAAAACCCATCCCCTTCCATAACCAAACCAGATCGGGGGACCAGATCGCTGCAATTCCAAACCCTAAAAAACAAAACCGGCGGACGGATCGAACGCGAGGATCGAGAGGAGGGGGGGGCGGCGGCGGGGTCTTACCGGTCGCCGGGCTCTCCGGACGCGCCCATCAGCTTGTGGCTGTCGAGCACCATCACCTTGTCCTCGTCGGTCTTGTGGACCAGGATGCTCTGCACCGCCGATGTGTCGGCGGCCACCACCGCGAAGTCGCGGCCGACGACCCCGATAACGCACTCCATCACCGCCGCCGCCGCCGCTGCCGCCGATTCGTCTGGGAAGTGGAGCCTGGAGGGAGGAGGTTGCGAACTCGCCGATGTGAGAAGAAACGGGAGCGAGAGGGGAGGAGAGAGAAGAGGTGTATAAAGGAGTTGAGTTCGCTTCGTCTTCGGGTGCAAGAAAGAATCGGGGTGAGGAGGGCGGAAGAGCAGTTTGGGTTTTAGTGGGCCGGTCCGTGTTTAGGCCCGGTTTACAGGGCAAAAATTTTTTGCTTTGGGGTGTCTAAATGTAATCTTATATACGGATACATATTTAAAATATTAAGTGTAGTCGACGAATTTATTAAGCCTAATTAATTTATCATTAGCAAATATTTACTGTAGCACCACATTGTAAAATCATGACACAACTAGGTTTAAAAGATTTGTCTTGCAATTTACACGTAAACTGTGTAAATGGTTTTTTATCCATATTTAATACTCCACTCATATATCCAAACATTTGATGTGATGGGTGAAAAGTTTTTGTTTTGGAAAGTAAACCGGGCCTACTCCAACGCGTTGAGAAAGTGGATGTTGGACGTCGGATCGAAAACGGAGATGTGCATGTGCTGGTTTCACTAACCAAATCGAGTATGAAAGAACTTAAACACAGGCACAATTTGATCGTATAATCTCTCAAAATAATTTGGTGGACAAAATTTCTAGACGACCAAACATCGTGTCGGCAACAGGGTGTTCATTTCAGTCGACAAACATCTATTCTTGCCTCCAGTGCAGGCTTGAAGCTCCTTATGAGCATTTTAACTGGTAAATAGCTAGCACAAGCAAATGCCCAGATAAAAACCCGCGAACATAAATTTGTGCAAACGGGGGCAACAATTTAAGGAACTCATGCCTCAGGTCTGGGGCTTCCCTGTAATTCCCGTTAAGAAAAAAAAAAGGTATTTACATGCGCAAACTCCTGTAAAGAAAAATGAATCCTATAAAATCGTTGTGTAAACATAATCAGATGTTTTCTCGTGGTATGCACGGATGATGGGTATAAACATCTAAACATTTCTACGAGTTACAACTTACAATCACCTAACTAGTATCCAAGGTATGGGGCAAATCACCTAATTAGCCACTACATGAGGATAGCTCATTGCTACCCTTTCTGTCGCATAGGATTGCAGAATCCAATTCATGTTGCATCAGCCAGAGTCCAGGGCCGCCTTGTTCGAGGAGCTAAACATGCCCCAGGATGCAGTGACAGGTTAGCTGCTTGCGGTCAAAATTATCTTGAGAGATTATGGTCACATGTATTTACTCCTCAACCACAATACTATCAAGAAGAGGATGCCCCAGATGTGTGCTGCCACTGAGCATTTTGCCATTCAGCTGACCCCTGCATAAAAGAATATCTCCCAGTCAATCCAAAATGGCAGAACTTGCTTAATGAATAAAATGTGTTGATTTGCCCCGCAGTTTTTTTACAAAAATAAAAGCAAGCAAATCCAGTACTACATAAAAGATGTCATCAGAATATGCAAGTGATTTACTGGGTTCAGCTAGTGAAAAACAAAATACTATAGCCTTCTCTCTGTCCCTGGACATGTCAACGTATCACCAAAATCAAGGAAGAAAAGGGCATAACTATATCAATTTCTACAATTAAAAGTTCCTAAAGTTCAGTGCCAAATTGCCAGTAGGAACCAAGTAAATAAACCTTGAGCTATAAGCAAATACAGTTAGAACCAGAATGAGGAAAACTGAAGAGTTTTGCTAAATGTAGACAAAATTTGAGGGCAGCAGCATCAAAACCTTACACTAGTCGACTGGAGCTCAGTTGTCACATTATTGCCGTTCTCCTACAATCAAGACATTAACACTTAAAAGGGTGTCCAGACAATTAATATTTCTTAACTTCTATACGACAGTATCATGAGTTTGCTTTTCACCTCAAGTAAAAGATCTTGTCTTGTTATTAATCCAACAACACGAGAAGGCCGTGGAACAACAAATATATGTCGCAATCCTAGTTGGCGGAAGAGATTGTACACCTGAAAATTATCAGCAGAAAGATCATGCATGCATCACACCTCAATAAAATAGGCATGGTTAAAAGCAAAAATGATGATGATGAAGAAGAAGACTATACCTTTGCTAAGGACATGTCCTCTGGCACTATATAAGGAGAAGGATTTAGAAATGGGGCGAGATCCAAATACAGCCCTAGCTCATCTTCTGTCAAATGAATATCATCAATTGACTTTCCTTTACTCGATGCTGGTTTAACAAAGTCACTTGTATTGTGCCTTTGTAGCAAAAAAAACATTATTACCAGTGGAAACTACATTAGATAATCATATTTTCTACTTATGATAGAAAAGCACAAACCTGTTGAGTATACCAGGTCCACAAGGGAAAGGACTATTCTGGAAATCTACTTTAGATTGCAGAAGTACAAGTAAGTGACTGCAACAAGAGGATGATTTGGGTCACTGAACAAGGTAATACGAATCAACAATTTCAAGAGAGAACTTGGCATTGTATCTTACCTACGAAGTATCAGACCTATGACAAGTGACTCGCCATTCTGCCCACGATCAACAACCTGAAATCCTCATAAAAATTAATTATGGATTCAACAACTTAATCCCCTAAAAGAGTCAATTGCCGGAGACTCCACAGAAACATGTTTAATGAACTGTCTTTGTAACTTACAGGGAAGCCATTATGCTTGTTGCTTCGCAAAACAGAAATAATATCAACAATTCTTGAAACGCGAGGAAGGGACACAACCTAACATAAAAAACAGAAGATTGTAAGTGTTAGAAATTGGAACACTATTGATAAAGAATATATTTCTCAATCCCACTTAAATAGATATAACTACTCCAAACCTTTTGATTCTTGCAGGCATCCTTCGCACTCATATTTCTCATAACCTGTTTGGGTCTTGAGTCAAGTAAAGGGATGCCCCTTAATTGGGCTTGCACTTCATACAGCCCTTCATTAAAAAAGTCACCCACGGCCTACATAAAAGAAATCAGAAGATGCATTTTATTGAATTATGTTCATCAAAGGAGACAAGGGTTGCACATATATACCTTAGAAATCAGAAGCACAAGCATGATTAACGGCAGGAGTTTCAAGTTGTTAGTAATTTCAACCATTATAACACATAAAGATACAGTCATTCTCATTGAGCCACCAAGAAAGGAAGCAGCACCAAGTAGAGCATACCTATAACAAAATCACATCAAAATGTAACTTTGTAAGTAGGAAGTTACTCCTACATCATTCTCTGCCAAAATAAATATATATCTAGAAAAAAAAGGAAATCAAGGGCTATTGGATGCAAAAATTAGAAGCCGTATTAACATATAAATTGAATAAGCTAGATGGTAAGAACTCACGTGCCCTCCTCAACATTTAGCTTCTTATAAAACTTAACAACAAACATTCCAACAAGCCGGCCATATGTTGATCCGATCATTATTCCTGGAACAAATTGACCAGCTGGAACAGCGGTTCCAAATGTCACGACAGCTAAGGAGTAAAACATGACCTGAGCACAGTAATAAAAGAAAGGTAAGAATATAGGGAGAGAGGATTCTAACACCTCAGAAGTCATCAAAATAATTTGAGTAAGATTTTGGAATAGCCAGCTTGGTGTTTTAAAAGAACAACTTAAAATGAGATCCAAGTTAACTTTCCTAATCATTAGTCAACTTTTTATGAGATCCAAGGTAACTTTCCTAATCATAGTATCATACAAAATGCACGAGTTTAACAACTTAAAATGAAATAAACATGAAATTAGAAGAATTTAGTGGAACACATAATCAAAAAAATCACAATCGATACAATCAACAAAATAATAAATTAATCAAAGTCTAGGGTTAACTGATGCAGCGCCTAAACCTTCAGCTGATCATTATTTGAGATAGTGGAGCCAGGCTACTACAAATCAGCCGAAGGAGGTGCAAAAAGGGATTAATTCTTTGGTTATCTTAGTGGCTTGGTAGATTTGGAAGCATCGAAATGACTGTGTTTTCAATGGTGCCAATCCTAGAGTTGCAACGGTCTTGCAGGAGGTAGAGAACAAGGGTAGCCTATGGTGTCTTGCAGGGGCTTCTGCACTCCAAAATCTTCTTAGTGGGTCGGCAAACTCGGGCAGCTAGCGCTCCCCAGTATGGGCTGGGTTGTGTGTGCGTGCATATGTGTGTGTGTGTGTCTCGGTGGGAGGGCCTTGGTCTCTCCTACTTTGTAATTTTCTTCCCTTTGTTTTCTTCCCCTTAATGAAATGAAACGCAGTTCTCTTGTGTTTTCTAGAAAAAGAAAATAAAAGATAAATTAATGGTAGTGCAGCACAATCTGTTCCAGCCTTGTACTGTGCACGTGGAATTTTTTAAGTAAAGACCAAAAAGGAGATGTCCAATATTACATATGCTAATATGTAAATAGAGAGAGAAGGTTACCAGGAAGGTGATAAGGCTTTGTGCACTGTATTCATGGAATGTTTTTGCACTGAATAGATTACGTATTGCATCATCCTGCAAGAAAATGATGTTGAATAGTCACAAGGAAAAATACAAAAAAAATCTAACCAAAGAAATTGATCTCCATTATATTTTAACCTGAGTATTGAAGAAAATGGTTGCTAGGTCGTTGTATTCGTTATCTTTAGAACAATAAAACTGCACGATGAAAACAACAGATAAATAACAGAAGACAACTGAATTAATGTGGCTTAGATGAATATATAGATTGAATAGAAATTTACAAAGTAAACCTCACATTGACAAAATTCCCATCTGTTCCAGGTGGCCGAGGGCATTCGATGCCAGAATTAGTTTCTAACTGAGGACATGAACTGCATTTCCTCATCAATGGCAACACAAAGGAAATTGTGGATGTAACCAAAGATATAAGGCATGCTTCAAAGATCTGGAAAATGGATGGATGTTAGTTCTCGAACTAAAAGAGCATCTTTTTCTACCATTAATACATTGTTTCTTCTTTATACCTTCACTCGTTTCCCCTTTTTGTGAAGATATGTTCGACGCCATTTAGTTATATACAGGGTAAGTTGATTGAATAATGCCCCTGAAAAGAAAAAACAAGGCATTAGATTAGATTGAGGAAAGGCTAAGTATAGTAGGATTTCCTATGTCTTGAATATACAGTCTGCTAACTTT